TAGTAGTAACTTTCTGTAGATCACCACAAGATGAGTCATGGATTCATCTCATCGGTCTGATTTTTTTTTTTAAGATTGATTTATTTACGCATACAAGAACTGGGGTATAAGCCAGAGGTGCAGGGGGAGCAGCGGGTGGGACAGGAGATGTCTGCCGTGCCATGTGTGTTGCTCCCTAACCGAGTGGGGATGGAATTTGCGCTGTAGAAGCTGGTGATAGCTTGATAGCCCTGTCTTTAATCCCTGCACCACCAGGGAGGCCCTGATTGTATTTTAAAAATGGGCATATTTTTCCATTGTACTAATGTAAACTTTTGAATGTGTTAGCAAAGTGTACCACACTGTCTTCACCAAAGGTGTTGCAGCAGTGGGATTATAGAAAATCATCCCCCAAGTTGTCCATTTAAGAAGCTCCCAGGGGTCTCCTTACAGGTGAGTGGACAGGGTTAAGAAAATGAGGAGGCTATTCCCCTAGGCCTGATAGGGGTAGCAAAGCAAGAGCCAAGGAGGAGGGGCCATTTGTCCACAGACATGGTCATGGAGAGATCATTATGGGCAGAAGAAAATAGGGAGTGAGAAAGAAATAGTACAAACTTTCCTCCTGCCCCACTCTCCTGCTGGTGCTTCCTACTGTCCTAACCTAACAGGAAGTGAGGGGGCAGGGGATTCTGGGAAACAGTCTACAGAACTCAGGTGCAGGCAGGAGGGTAGAGACAAGAAGCAAAAGGAGAAGAGCTGGCAAGCACCATGAAAATCCTTCACCTTCTACCTACCGCTGAGATCAACCATGTTGACTGTCAAATTGGTTCCAACTTGACCCTGAGGAATCTTCAGCCATCTTTAAAACCCTGCCTTCACCTTTCTGGAACAGGATGCTACCCCCCTGTTTGATTTGATTTGGGTATGGAGGTCTCTCGAGTTGGTTCAGTGCTTCTTTCTTCTCCCATTTTAGCTGTTGGGAACCTTCACCACCTTGCTGCTGTTTGTCAAGTTAAGATGACAGATCTCTGGAGGACAAACACCTAAGCCCACCTGGCTGCTGAGGACATGGTCTTGTTTTGATTTCTCTGTGGCATTCACTGATTTGGGGAGGGAGATTTATTGATAATAAAAGATTCAGAAACCCCTATCATACTGACTGGTTTTTCTTCCTTTTTTATTTTAATTTCCATATCAGCTGGTGATGATTTTAGTTCTAAGGACCTAAATGGAATGACCCAGTCTTTGCTGTCATGCCACTGTTTGTTTTGTAAATTATTTTGTGAAAAAAAATCTAAAATGTTTACACTCACCAAGAGTTTGACATATTATTTTATGATCCCTTTTTTCCCTTTGATGAAGGACTTCAAAAGTAATCACAATGTCATTCTTCCCCCCATTCACCTCATTTTACACATCTAAACATGTACACATTTGGGGGGCCTCCCTGGTGGCTCAAGGGACTCAACCTATGAGGCAGTCCACAGCCACTGCAACACGCGTTCGATCCCCCCAGCCAGCCAGGGAGCAATCCACGTGGCGCAGCAGACCTCTCCTGGCTCGCCCACTGCTCCCCTCAGCAGTGTATTTCAGTCAGTCTGCCTGTTCTGTTCTCACCTCTGTCTCTGGTGAATCCTCTCACCATCCACACCTGTGGCCTGTATCACAGTTCTTGTAGGCATAAATAAATCAATCTTTAAAAAAATAAAAATGTACACATTTGTGTCCCTAACCCTAATGCCATTAGCACACCTGACTCACTGTGTATCTCCCCCTCCTTCTCCCAACCCCATGCACATGTTGAAACCCCCATGGTGATGGACTCAGGACAGGGGGCCTTCGAGAGGTGATCAGGTTATAGGGTGGAGCCCTCATGAGTGGAATTAGTATCTTAAAAAAGACAGACCCCAGAGAGTTCCCTCATCCCTTCTGCCATATGAGGATGTGGCAAATAGATGGCCATCTATGAACCAGGAAACGGTTGTCACTGGACACTGAATCTACTGATGCCTTGATCTTGGACTTTCCAACCTCCAGAGCTGTGAGAAATAAATGTTTATAAACTTCCCAGCCTATGACATTCAGTTACAGCAACCTGAACAACCTGAGCCAACACATAAGGCAATTAATAGATATTTCCTTGGCATCACCCAATACCCAGGCCATCACTGAATTTTTCCTATTGGCTCAAAAATGCTTATGTTTCATTTCTTTGTTTTTTTTTAAAGCTATAATTGGCTCATAATATCATATTAGTTTCAGATGTACAGCACACTGCTTCAATATTTGCACATACTGCAAAATGGTCATCATAGTGAGTACAGTTAATATTTGTCAGCATACATAGATACAAAAGTTTTGTGTGTGTGTCATGAGAACTTTTTTTTAAAGATTTATTTTTTTATGTGTACGAGAACTGGGGTACTAGCCAGAGGTGCAGGGGGTTAAAGGATTCACCAGAGACAGTGTGGGGAACAGAATAGGTGGGTTTACTGAAATACACTGCTGAGAGACGCAGCGGGCAAGTCAGGGGAGGTCTGCTGCGCCATGTGGGTAGCTCCATGGCTGGGGGTTGAACTCATGTTGCAGTGGCTGCAGACTGCTTCACAGTGCTGAAGCTTAACCCCTTGCGCCACCAGAGAGGCCCCAATGAGAATTTTTAAAATCTACTCTCTCAGCAGCTTTCAAATATGCAACATAGCATTATTAATGATAGTCTCCATGCATCCCCAGGCCTTACTCACTTTTACACCACCTTCTGGATTTGCTTTTTGCTTTTCTATGGTAACTCTACCTTGTTCCTCTCTCCCCTGTATTTCCTGTAACTCACTCTTCTCAGCCCTGCCTGTGGAGAAGTGTTAACAAAATAACCTAAATCTGGATCCCATCTCTCCATCTTCTGATTGAATTGTACTGGTCTGTGTCCAGGGCATGGATACTTTTTACACACATCCAGGTGATTCTAACTGATGGTTATGTCTGAGAATCAGTAAACCAAGGACTTGATCAATGACCACTGCTGCCTGAATCAATTCTTTTGTTGATGATTGCGGAAACAGTGCCTCATCAATTCTTCCTCTTTCTTTGCAGGGGAGGTTGGGGGATGGCTTTTTGAAGAGGAGAAAATGGGCATATCATATTTGCTGTCACTGCAATCATCTCCCACTTTTTTTTAAAAAAAAAGATTTATTTATGCATACAAGAACTGGGTTACAGGTCAGAAGTGGCGGGGGCGGGGGTGAGAGGATTCACCAAAGACAGAGTGGGGAACAGAACAGGCAGATCGACTAAATACATGCTGAGGGGAGCAGCAGCTGAGTCAGGAGAAGTCTCCTGAGCCACGTGGGTAGCTGCCTGGCCAGAGATCAAACTCACGCCGCAGTGGCTGCGGACAGCTTCATAGGTTGTGTCCTAAACCCTTACACCACAGGGAGACCACATCTCCCACTTTTGACAAGAACACCCTAGGTTTTCTTTGAAACCAGCCCACCTCTAAGATTTCCATCAATTAAGGAGGGGCGGCCATGTAATCCCTGCTGGTCAATCAAAATGTTTTGTGTATCTAATGGTTGTTGTTTTAGGCATGGAAGTGGGACCCAAACTGAGAGGCTAGGTTTGGGAACTTAGAATATACGACCAGGAGAGAGGAGCTTTTACCAAAGATTGTCTGGTTCAGAAGAAGCCACCTCAAAGAGGAAGGTTGAGAATACTGGGGCAGTATGTAATACCTGGATATAACACAGTCTAGCACTCTGCAGTTAGTGCATTCATTCAACAAACATCTGTGGAGCTCCTGTTGAACTGTTTTTATATAAAACACTTCTGACACCAAATGTGGGGGGTTTTCTCCACACCAACTAATTCTCTGCAGGCACTAAACAAGTGTCCTACAATTCTACTCTGACGCATCCCAGATTTTGCAACAGACACCACAGGTTTAAGGGCTCAATCCCACAATAATGTCTGCATTTCAGATGTTTGTTGGAAATACTGGGTTCCCAAGTGACCCACACTTATGTATGACTGAGCTACAAAGTCGGGGGACCCTATACCCCCCTTTCAGGTTTGATAATTATTGATAACTCAAAAAAAGCAATAGTACAGAACAGGTTAGCATGGCTCTTTGTGCAAGGATGACATGAATTTCATGAATCCTATCATTTAAAAAGAAAGGCTACAACTCAGGAACAGCCAGTGGAAGAAATGCACAGGGCAAAGCATGAGGAAGGGCACAGAGCTTCCATGCTGTCTCATGGCCTCCAGCACCTTTATGTGCTCACCAACTGAACACTTAACCCTGTTGTTCAGGAGTTTTTTACAGAGGTTTTCATAGGTAGATATGCTTAATAAAACCACTGACCACTGGTGATTAACTCAATCTCTAGCCCCTCTCCCTAAATGTGGAGAATGGATGGGACAGAAAGTTCCAATCATGTAATCCAGCCTTGGTCTTTCTGGTTCCCATTTTAAAACTATACAGAAATCCCCACCCACAAGTCCTCTTTAGCATGCAAAAGACACATCACTAGGATGACCCAAGGGTTTTAGGAGCTGTGTGCCAGAAACCAAAGACCAAATATTTCGTTTCTGTTATGTCACAGAGAGGACCCTGGGTAAGATAATTTAAAAAAAAAATTTAAATCCCTGCATTTGAGATATTCGTTATGCATTACTTAATGACATTTAGATCAATGACAGAACACAGATACAATGGTTGTCTCCATGGACAATGCCATCGCACTTAGGGGAGTACACACAATTCATTCCTCAGTGTTGCCCTGCCATGACTGTTTAGTGAAAGGGACACTTATTTAAGTTATATCAATAAATTAAATAGTATTTTAGATTCTAGGGGCTGTGGGGAGCATAGGAAAAGCGACATCAGAAATACTGAGGGGTTGTGGCACTAAACGGGGGTCAATGAGGTGAGATTGCCTTGAAAGAGGAGGTGAGGGAAGTCATATTACCTAGGTTGAGAGCCTTGCAGGCTGAGGGAATAGCCAGTGCAAAAGCCCTCAGGCAGGGGTCTAGCATACCTAAATAGAGTCAAGGAGGCCAATGTGACTGGAGCAGGGAAAGTGGGAAGAGTTGAGGGTAGGGAGGTGACGGGTCGGAGTGAGCAGGTAAAGACTTTGGATTTTACCCCAGGTAAAGTGGGAACCATGGAAGGTTTGAACAATGGAGGGATTTGACTCAACTCAAGTGCTCACAGGTATCCTCTGGATGCTGAGGGTAAGTCAGACCTCACTAGGATTAATTGGGGAATTTTCCAGAAGCAAGACAGTGACTATGTGGCTTGGTTTGAGGCAGCCCCAGAGCAGAGCTTCCATGGCCTGATCCAGGTTCTGCTGCATGGCCCTCAATCAACCATCTATTTGGCTGTGAATCAGCCCATCTCTTCCTGAAAACATTTCACTAATGGAAATAAGTCACCACATTTGGGCATAATGGCTTTAATTTAATTTTCCTTGTGGAGAAAAGTGCATGTTTTTCTAAATGGACATCAAAGAATCACTTACACAGAACCACACCCAGGATACAAATGACCAGGTCAAAAGCTCTCACCATAGTGTTTCAGGATCATCAGGGAGAAGTCAGCCAGTGGAACTAGTGCTTGACACTGAGAACAAACTTTACCCCATATTTTTTTAATGAGGAGAGAAAGACACAAGAAAATTATGCCTGGAGAAGCCAAAAGAAGAAAGAAAAAAAAGCAGAACACTTAACCAGACATGTAAATCACTGAAACTGCCTTTAGAAAGACAAATTGCTAAAAGTGAATGGTAAGAAGGGATGGCACTGGTGCAGAACCACCTCAAGGGCTGCCACAGCCTTAGTCTCCGGGGAGGTGGGAAGTCACACAGCCTTTGGTTTAATTGTTGTTTGTAAACTTAACAAACTTCTATCTCCACAGTGATCTTTGAAGACATCAGTTTCAGCTTCCTAAAGCCCATCAGGAGTCAAACATTGCCCCCAAACATCATAAAATAAAAACTTGTACTATTTTTACAACAAAAAAAGTTAACCTACTTTATTCCCAGAGGCAGTTGTCTCAGTTGCTACTTGAAACCAAACTGTTAAAAAATCATGTGTAAACAGGAAGCTTAGGCCAAGTCAGGTACATGAAGCAGCCAAAGCTGTATTTTATCATATAGGTGGTGCCAAGTCAGTTTGTCCCTCATATAACGACCCTGTTCCACCACATCTTCCTGGCAGCAGCTTAAGGAAAATGCACTAGACATTAGACTCCCGCTAGACTGTGGTGCATACACTTTTTAGCTGCTTTAATTTCACTTTTATATTAAAACTAGAATACTTGACTTCCACCTGAAACATTCAGATACTCACTTTATGTTTTCAGCAACTTACTCACTTCACAGTGAGAAATCTAATTTGTTGGCATACAAAGATATCCTCACTTTCAAGCTCTACGGATAGCTAGTCCTTGGTATGAGGCGAATAGGATCTTTTAGGAAGAAATTTAATCTAGAGTAATATTAAACTTAAACTTGAACCTAACCTGAGAAGGAAGAGGTTTAAGGCTACAGTGTTGGTCAACTGGCACGTCTGTTGGTGTTCTGAGGCAGATGGTGTTATGCCATCAGTTTTGACTTTGTGGGGCTGCTGAGCCAGGGAAAAGGGGACAAAGGAGTGTCTGCAATGTAGATCCCCAAGTTACACATAACTTCCCAGCAGGAGCCTCAGCAGCTGGAGATTTTAGCCTCATGAGTTCCCCAGCTGTGCTGTGCCCCAACCAGGGGGACTTAGCCCAGCCCATCCCTTCATCAAGCTGCCAATCCCAAGCTGTGGCTGCTGATGTGCAAGAAATAGCAGTTATACAATTCTGCTTCCTCATCCCTCTGGTCCAAGCACAAAGCATTCCTTTGAGTGACGCCTACCTTAGCAGAAAATGTCACATCACTGGGGCTCACTAATGACATGACTTAGGAAACAAACCAGGTGTTCAAGGGTCCTCAAGCGGGAGGAGCCAAGTCCTCACTTTGGAAAGTCTCCAGCAAGGGCAGATTCTAAACATTGCTCAATTTCCTTTTCTAGCAGGATGTAAGATGTGGAAAGGCATTGCTTAAAGCACTACCAGTCAAAAAGCCCCAAACACTTCCAGCCAACAGGGGTGTGGGGGTAGGAGGGGAACCTGGCCGGGAGGCTCATGGCTCTGAGGTTAACTACTGGTAAAAAGCCCCATGCAGGAATGCCAGCGGTTGAGAGATTCTCTGCTCCATCTGACACAGCCAATTGGTAGTTCCAGAATTCAATTTTGGATCAGAAATTCAGTGGATAAGCCAGAACAGTGAAAAGGGTGATGGATGATGGGTGATGTAGAATTCTGGGTAAGCTCGGAAGGCACTTTTTGGGGTCCCTGAAAGCAAGGCGGAGGGGGGCTGACTCCCTATCCCATTACAATGGGAAAAGCTGCTGTAATACTGTTTTTACAGGCGGAGGATCTGCAGGCCAGAAGGGAGGAGTCTACAGAGGCCAAATCACCTCCCACCTCAGCACACTGAGGTCTTAAAAGAGGTTCACAGACAGGCTTGGGGAACAGATTGGGGGACCTGAGAAAGAGGAGCTGCCTTCCATATCTCCAGAGATTAATTCTGAGAACCCACACTACATGAGGGAGAAAACAAACCATCTTGCCTGTGAACATCAAGCAAGGTCCAACACATACCCAACAACAGAATGGCCCTGGACAATGGTCCTAATGCAGAAGGCACTGGATACCCTCCACCAGGCAGGGGTGACCATGCCGCCCACACCACTGCCATTAAAACCCCTGAAAAGCAGCAAGTTCAGGCATGTCAATGTCCCCAGTCCCTGCCTTCACTGTGGAGTCCCCAGGGCCTGAGGCCTATGTCAGGGACTGTTGGTGGCCATGGTGAGGGAACAGGCCATGCAGGAGTAAGGGGCAGCTGATGGGAGGCAAGGGCGGCAGTGCCCTGAGTTTAGAAACAGCCCTTGTGCTCATGGCTCCATCACAGTCCCTGCTGAGGCCGTAGGGAGTGGGTGCGGGTTAGGGACCATTTCTAGCAGCTGCAGCCACTTGGCTGGGGGGGTGGAGTGTCCCCCAGGGCTGGGCCTTTCCCATTGCTGCCCAAGCTGGAGCTGGGTTCCAAGGATTCATTCATCTTCTCACAGATGATGTCCACCAGGCGCTCGAAGACCTGTTTCACGTTGATGTTTTCCTTGGCACTGGCCTCAAAGAACTCAAAACCTGAAAGGACACAAGAAGGGACACCCATAAGATAGCCCCCGCCACAGACAGAGCCTGGGCTGTGGTGCCACCCAAACCTGAGTCTCAAGCCTGGTCCTGGATTGAGTACTTTGGTCTTTCCAACCTCAGCTTGCTCATCTGTGCAGTGGGAACAATAATATTGATGATGATAAAGAGCTGCAGAAGCAGCCTGGTATGGCTACTGTTAAAAATCTCTAGTTAACAAGGCAGTGGCTGCAAGACTCCAGGTACTAGCATCTATGGGGTGTCCTGGTGTCCAGCAAGCACTGGGGTGCCCGTGGATGACTGGTTTTTGTCAATTGGTGCTGCACAGAGAGGGCAAGTCACTCATCTAAATTCACACAAGTAACTGGTGGCACAGCTGGGATTCAAACCCAGCTGCCTGGCTGAAATAATCATTCCGTGAATAATCCAGCTATACCACCTTGGGCCTCAGGAGGGAGGACAGGTTGGTTGATACCTCAGGATGGGGGACACAAAGTGGCTTTGAATATTCTCAGGCCATCATAATTTGTATGTCATTTTTCACATTTCCAAAGTGGTGCAAAGACTTTGGGGATCTGCCCGAGGCCCCTCGGCTACAAAATGTGGCCCAATGACATGAAAGTAAGAGGGTAGATGATAGTACTTTCTATTCCTCTGAAAGGTTGGTTCAGGCTCTACCTGCAGGTAACTGTCCCTGAATTGCCCCTAATGGGTCCTCACCTGTAACCCCCACTAAAGTGGGTGAGAAATCCAGATAAACATCTACCATATTACCCATAGCACAGCATAAACAGGGCTCTATGCCAGCACTTGTCAGACTGTAAAATGTTATAATATAAAAATATAAATAGTTAAATAGTAGTGTGTGTAGTTATCTATTTACTATCCATCCCGACTACTAGAATCCCAGGATTTCTGTCCGCCTTGTTGTAGGGTAAATGGTTTTCAGGCTTTTCTGCCCTCTGACCATTAGGTTTGCCCTGCCAGATGGGGCACCTGCAGTTGTTACATCGTTGCAAACTGTCTTGTTTACTTCTGTGGGCCATGGGAGGAGTACTGAGGCAGCCATCAAGAGAAGCAGAAGAGAAGCAGCAGCAAGAGAACCGGGAGCAGGAGAGGCAGGAGAGAGAAGCCCAGAGTGAAGACTTGGTTGGGGGGGGGGGGGGAAAGCTAGGAGGCCTGCAGGCCTCCTGGCCCCCTGGCACCCCTGCCTGCCGTGTGCCTGGTTGCTGCAATGCATGAGAAAGCCACCGAGGGCTCCAAGACTCTCCTTTACCTGGTCTGCTCCGATCATAGGAAACCTGCTCAGTGGCCCATCCTACCCCTACACTTGTCCACTACTTCTCCAGCCTGGTGCTTGGCAAAGAGATGGTGCTCAGTTACTATTTGCTTACAATTCAATGAATGAATGACAGAGGCAAAGCCTGAATTAGATCTACTATAAGCCGTCATCATCAATGTCACTATATTGTCTTCTGGGGAAAGTCTGGCATACCTTCTCTGGTGGTTTTTTTTTTAACTTTTTTTCCTGATTATAAATATTCACTGGAAATTTACTGCAGAAGCTAGATACTACATCCTGAAAAATATCAAGACAGATAAGAAATATATGTAATCTTATCACCCAAAAATAATTATTACTGGTTTTTGATATTTAGCTTTCCAGTGTTTTTAAAATAAATACACAATGGTTAGGGTTGGATTTTAAGGAGTATGTGTGTGCATCTGGTCTTTTTCCTATAAAATTGGGATCAAATTTTATCTTCTACTTTGTACTCCAATATTTTAAATTTAATGACCTAGTAGGAGCCCCCTCACTCCCAGTTACTAGATGTTCCCTGCAAGAAGGTATGGGCAAGAATCCCAGTCCAGGGCTGGGTCATGGCTGATTTCACCAGTTCAAGGCAAATTGATGGCCCAGGGTCTGACCATATGAGCTGACTCCACAGCATACCAGGCTGGATTCCCAGAAACCAAAGGGGACAGAGGAGCAGGTTACATGACACCACAAGGGAACAAAGAGCCAAACTTAAATGGAAGACAGTCCATAGAACAAAGACCTAGTTTCTCCAAAAAGTCAATGGCAAGGGAAACAAAAAAGACAGAGGACCATTTTAGCATAGAGTCCTTGAACTTTCTCTTTAAAGGGCCAGATATAAATATTTTTGGCTTTGAGAGCCACATGGTACTGAGAGTTTCACAAGCATCAACAATAGTGCACAGGAATAAAAAAAAAAAAAACCACATACAAAAAAACCAATAGCTCACAGTCATGTTCACCCTTATATGCAACCCACACACAGCTCTGTTATTACTGCCTCATACATTAGAACTCATTTATTTACTCCTCGTGACAACTCAATGAAGTAGAGCTGTTATCATCTCTGTTGCACAAACAAGGAAGTGCAGGCACAGAGAGCTGAAGTCACTGGTAGTACAAGATCATGAAGCTATCGAGAAATAATGCTGAGTTAATGTTCAACCAGGGCCAGAATTAGCTTATTTAATCTTTCTAACAGCTCTATGCAGTAAACACAGTTTTCACCTCTGTTTTCTAGATGGAGAATTGGAAGCACAGAGAGGAGGGGCGATGTGATTGAGGTCCCACAGCTGATGGGTTGCAGACTGGGATTCTAACTCCAAGTCTGGGTCCTTAACGTGCCCTTTCCCAGCAGTGATTATGCCATCTCCCAAAATGAAAGTCCTGGGATAGCCTAGAATACTAGAATACTCCAGGATAAGATTATCATGTAGCTTAAATTTTGAAAATATCATCCTTTTGCTTGACTCCAAAAAGGTAAACTGAAAATCCCCCTCCCATATCTGGTGCCCTGGCTTCCTAGTTCTCAGACACATATAGGTCATATGTATCTGCTACCAGATTTCTGTTATCTTTCCACATTTTCTTTAGGCAAACATAACTCTTTATTCTTTTCTTGTCCTTTTTATACACTAACGCAGGGGTGAACAAACTCTAAGCTGTAGACCAAATCTGGCCCATTGCTTGCTTTTGTAAATAAGTTTATAGACAAATGGCCACACTCATTCATTAGTTTATTGTCTTTAGCTACTTTCAGGCAGAGTTGAGTGGTTGCAACTGAGACTCTATGGCTGAAAATTCTTATCTGGTCTTTTAAGAAACTGTTTGCTGAGCCCTGGACTAAAGGAAGAAGTAATAACCATTACTCTGCAGTTTACTTTTACCACATTAGTATATATCCCATAGATCTTGCCATAGTGAAACATGAAGAACAGCCTGATCCATTTTTATGGCTGTGTAGTATTCCACTGTATAAATATACAGTCATATGCCACTTAATGATGGGGATATTCTGCGAAACGAATCATTAAGTGATTTCATGTTGTGCAAACATCATAAAATGGTATAAATGGTATACCCTGTTACACCTAAGCTACGTGGTATGGCTTGTCAGGGATACCATCTTCTATGTGGTCCATCACTGACCAAAATGTTATTAAGCAAAGCATAACTGTATACTTTATGTTTAGCTGTTTCCCCCACTGTGAGGTTGTCAAGGTTTTCCTCCTACTAACACTGCTTCAGTTTGATAAATAAATCATTTCCCACTTGGGTGTGGATTCTGTAGAATAAACTTCCAGAAATGGTTTTGCTGAGTCTGGGTTTACAGGGTAGTGAGGGGATCAGGATTTAACTGTGGGTGAATCTCCTGAAATTAACTGGAGAAGGTGGCATGTTTGTGGATATTTTTCTGGGCAGATCCTCAGAGAGCAAATTGTTGGTGACTGCTATTGGACCAAGAACCTGAGGGTAGGGATAAGAGTTAGGTGTGGGAGGCCCAGGGCCCATGTCCCAGGCTTTGTACTAACCAAGGTCATCAGCAAGCCTCCGGCCATCCTCAGCAGCCACAACACGCTCGTCTTCCAGGTCACACTTGTTCCCCACAAGGATGACCTGGGCATTATCCCAGGAATAAGTCTTGATCTGTGTGGCCCTGTGGAATTTGAGAGCAAATAGAACTGGAATTAGGGATGGGGGTGGGAAGGGCAAAAGTAAGGGTGTCAGTGGTCAACAAGCACTCACCAGTCCTGCACAGCAGCAAAAGACTCCTGGTTTGCGACATCATACATCAGCAGGAAGCCCATGGCACCACGGTAGTAGGCTGTGGTGATCGTACGGTAGCGCTCCTGGCCCGCAGTGTCCTGGGCAAACAGTGGAGTCAGGTGGCTGGAAGTCACTCTGTTCACTACCCCACCCCTGGAGAACCTTTTTTGAGGGAGCACTGCTCTGTGCTTAGTCCCAGTTTGATGGGTGAGACATGCACCTGCCAATATAATGTCCAGTCAAGGCAGGAGACATGGGCCTGTCCTCAAAGCCTCTAGACTCATGGCAGAAACACAGGCCAGCCCACATAATTGTAGTCTAATTAGACTATCATAGGGGCTGCCTGCACAGCTTCTGGTCTTATGGGACAAACCTGGCTTGTCCACATAGTCTCCTGGATGAGGGGAGAGACATGGCTCTGGCCTTAAAGGGTTCCCAGTCTGAGGGAATCTGTGGCCTCTGAGAGACTTATAAGCCCTTTTGTTTTTTTTTTTTTTTAAAGATTTATTTATATAAGCACTGGGTACAGTCAGAAGCGCGGGAGGGTGAGAGAATTCACCAGAGCCAGAGCGGGGAGCAGAGCAGGCAGAAGGACCGAAGTACACTGCTGAGGGGAGCAGCGGGCGGCAGGAGAGGTCTGTGCGCCATGTGGGACCCTCCTCCGGTGGCCGGGGAGCAGCCGGGGATCGAACCAGCGCTGCAGAGGCTGCGGGCAGCTTCGCAACCCAGCGCTCAACCGCTGGCGCCACTGGGGAGGCCCTTATAAGTCCCTTTGACCTCACCTCTAAAGAACCAACTTAGTGACCACAAACAAGAGCCACCTGAGCCAGAGAGTGCCCTATTACAGGCACCCTAGTGTGGTGCTCATTACCATGGTGATTGTTAACAGCAGACACCAGCTCTGACTGGCAGGCAGGCTCATTCATGGCCCCTAGGGTTTCCTGAGATGGTAGCCAAACCTCTTCCTCAATGGTTGCCAGGACTTCTTACCCACTATCTCCCTTTCAGACTCCACAGGACAGGGCACATCCCCCCATTTGATGATCACATAGGTAATGATCTTCATCACATAGATAATGCTCCCCTACTCATCATACCTACCCCACACCCCCTCCCTAACTCTGGGGGGGGGGGCCCATTTCACAGCCCTGTCCCCTCATATAACATCACAGGAGGAACTCCAGCCCCTCCCAAACAAAGACCCAAGGACATCTGCTGGCCCACCCAGATCTGCAGTTTGATCCTCTTGTCATGCCTGTAGACCGTCTTGACCTTGAAATCGATGCCCACGGTACTGACAAAGGCAGGTGTGAAGGAGTCGTCGGCATAGCGGAACAAGAAAGATGTCTTGCCCACACTGCTGTTGCCGATGAGGAGCAGCTTGAACATATAGTCAAAGTTCTGGTCTGCAGCATCCCGAGGGCTGGTGGGGGGGTCTCCTGCTGATGCCATCTTGGCAGGGAGCCTCCTGGGGGTAAGGGGAAGCCTAAATCCTCAGATGGGGAGGACTGGGGTCCTGCAAGGAAATCAAACACCAGAGTAAGGGCTCCAGTGCACATGTCAGGCCTGGGTTCAAGTCCTGGACCCTGAACACATCACTGTTTCTCTCTGGGCTTCAGTATCCTCCTCTGGAAAATGGGGATTTTGACCAAATGTAAGGGCCCAGGCTGGGGGGACACTTGGGGTACCTCCTCTGGCCAGTGAGGAACCAGATCTTTAAGAAGGTATAGGTGTGGACTTTGCCCCAGGCTGAGCAGCTGGCATGGCCCAGGTATGAACTGGGGGGAGGGAGGCCTTGCCACCTGGGGACCCCCCACTTATAGCCTGGTGTTCACTTTAACAGGTATCAGCCACTGGAGGGCCACCTCTTTGCTGACCTCCACAGGGAGAGGAGTTTCGGGGGGATACAGCCTAGGTTAAAAGGCCAGGTACCCAAATAGGTACCTTCCAACTTCTGTTTGTCAAAGGGGCTGGGCAGTCTCCCTAGGGCAGGGCTGACTCACCTCAGCCCCAGCCCACATTGGCTTGGTGAGAGTGACAATCCCCAAGTCTAAGGAAACCACCCCAGTCACATAATAATCAAGACACCCAGACCATCACCCCTCTCCAGACCTAGTACTTCCTTTTCTGCCAGTCTGTCTTCATAGTTGGGCTGCTTCATCTTGGTCCAGGGCATCCCCCAGCCCTTATTCCCTCCCTACGCCTCAGTCTCCCCAGCTGCTCCCTGAGCTGCACAGGGAGGCTCCAGAAGGCCTGGGTGAGTAGAAGGAACACTGGCAGGAGAATCCCAGGCATAACTATTTCAAAACGGCCTGTGGGGCTTTTTTCCATTTTAAAAAGAACCCAAGTGGCCCCCCTTTCCTGCCCTGCCCGCAGGGCCCCACCCCATGTTCCGGGAGAACTAGTTTGAGGAGGGCAAGAGAAGAGACAGGAAATCTTTCCCCATGCTGGGCCTGGCCTCCAGGCTGGAACCCTCACTTCCCCTCCCCCGCACACCTGTCGGTCAGTCTCACCTCTTTCTGATCACCTGCCCACCCTCCCTCACTCCTGACAGGTGAGGGTCCCTGGAGGGTTTGGCCCTGTTTCCCTTCACTGGATGTGGGGCAACCCAGCCGGTGCAAGGCAGCTCAAGCGCTCCCTCCCATCACCATATGGTCCCAGCCTAAGTCCCCAGCTGGGCTCTCCGCTCCGCCCGCGCCCGGTTAACGCTCCCCGAAGAGCCCAGCTGGGTGGGGGGCGAGGGAAGAGACTTCCCACGCCGCCCGCCTTTGTTCCCCAGGTCCCTGGGCCCTTTCCTATCCCCCCTGTACCCCCAGACCTATTAAGAAGCAAAGGTGCAGGGCTCCCTAACGGGAGGGAGTGTCACCTCTCGTGTGGGGCGATGCCCGCGGGCGTTCTGCCTTCGAACTCGCTGCGCCTTGGTCTTGGCCGCGACCCCGACCCCGCGCCGCCGCCGCAGCCACCCGGATCCGCGCCGGCTCCGCCCAGGCAGGGGAGGAGGGACCGCTCCCCGCGGGGGCCGGGCGGGGCAGAGTGGGGGCGGGGCTTGAGGAAAGCTGAGGGGTGGGGGTGGGGTTGGGCGCAGACCGAGCCTGCAGGGGTCTAGCGTCTGCCTGACAACAATAAGCTTTTCCTTTTCCCCAAGTATACGTAGAGCTTCTGCTATGTGCACAGCGGACTCTGGAGCTAGGTTCGAATCCCAGCTCAACCTCTTTCCAGCTCTGTGACTTTGGGCCTGTCACTTACCCTCTCTAGGTCTGTTTCATAAAGTGAGCAGTAAGTCCCCACCTCAGAGTTTTGTGAAGCTTGTGACCTGAGTTAGTGTTTGCAAAGTGCAGTGCATGACTCCTGTGAAATACTTTTACGGGCCCCTAGAATTAAACTTCCGCTTTATGAATAAGGAAACAGAAGCTCAGAGAGCAGCAACCCCTTGTCTGGAGCCACATAGTAAGGACATTTGGATTCCAGCACCACCTGAGAGACTGCAGTTGTAACAGTTCATGCTTTGCTGTTCAAATCCCAGCAATTCCATCTGTCCACTTCAAAGCTGACCCTCTATTGCTTCTGGGGAACAACAGTAGCCGCCTCCAGGGACTGCCTTAAGGGTGAAGTGAGATGACATGAACCGGTCAGAAAGGGCCCGCATATGCTAAGTAACAACCAGTCCCAAAGCTTCCAGGGTACACCAGACTTGCTTCTCCCCCTGGTCATTGTGGTGAAAGCAGCAGGTGGCAAATCATGCACCGGTTCATATATTTCCCTCTGGAAGTGACTCAGGCTACCTCTGCTCATATTGCAGTGGTCAAAAGCAAGGCACAGTCCTTCCTCCCTTCCCCCAGTGTCAATGGAGCGGGAAATAGGATTATTCACTAGGGATCAGAACTAGCTTTTGTTATAATAAAAAATGGCATGTCCAGTGGTGTGGTGGTTCATGCCCTGCCTGGCATACAGCATGGGCACAATTATAGTAAGAGCTTAGGGGCTACCATAGCTGATGCTCCAAATCATGCCGTATGAATGAGGAAAGCATCAGCTCAATCCTTGCCCACTCCTCCCCCTGTTTTTGGAGAAAAACAATAGCAGCCATTTCGAAAAAAAAGTGTTTATTGACATTTGGGCTGCCAGAAAGGCAGTGGGAGTTAGAGGCTCCTGAGGCCCAGGGCAAGGCCTGTGAGACAGAACCCATTGCTCAGGAGGCAGCCCAAGTTGCAAAGGGAGGATAGGCCATGGTAGTGGAAGAAGGTCTGGCGGAGAGCACTGTACTTGGGGTCCTGCCCCCGCAGCTGGTGGTAGGGGTCAGGGCCCTGGTGACTGCCTGGCACTTCCTGGCCCAGGCCCCGCTCCTTCTCCACCATTTGCAGGGCCCACATGGCAGCTGTGGTTCGATGTCCCAGATAGCGGGCATTGATGGTGGCCAGTGTGAAGTTCAGGAGCAGCAAGCACAGCTGGCAGGGGCAGTGGGAAGACAAGATTATCAGAGCATGAGAGCCAGAAGGGGCCCCAGGAAAGGTCTTTCTGCATCCTCATTTCCCAGAAAGCAAAGGGGGACAGTAATGGGTTAAAGACAGGCCTTCCCCTTCCCCAAACCCAGACTAGGGGTCCGAACTTGTAGCCCCTAAGGAAAGTCTTTATCACCCATCTCCTCTGTCCCGCAACAACCTTTATCCTCCTGTCCTTAGATGCCCATTCTGGAAGTCTCCATAACACAGTCTTGTCTCCTCCCCTCTTCTGCTTCCCCTTACTGAAGTTATCTAAGAATGTATTTTTTTTTTCCTCAAATTAGGACAGAGCACCATGACTATCCCCTCACTCCCTCAAAACAGCAAGCCTGTCTCCTCTGTGGCCCTAGCCCAGTCCCCAGAAGCTAACACTGGGCCCACAGGGAGTAAATAAAAAGTCCTTGGAGTTCCAGTTACCCATTATCCTCTCCTGTCTCTGTGGGATTATTCTTAAAACACCTTGTAGGCCTTACCTGCCCAAATCTGAGGAACAGAATGGGGACATGGGGAGGGCAGGATAGAGAAATACGAGACATACAAATGGTTTCTTGCCTTGTGGCTCAATGTGTGGATGGGGGTAGGAGACTAAATTCCCAGTCAGGCTGGTTTTTAAACAATGAGCTGGGGTCAATGCTCCAGTCCAGCTGAGTCACCACAGCTTGGAGGCAGGCCCAGCAAGGAGGAGCAGGAGCAGCAGCCAGCAGACACACACTGGGGGACAGAGTTGCTAAGGACAGTTGTGCAGCCTGTGCACTGCTCAAGGGTATTTAAAGCCCAGTTTCGTATCCACCAGGAAGAGCGGAACTTTTTAATTCTCACAAAGATATAGCGATAGGTGTTCAGTGGGGTTCTAGGAATAAGTCTCCAGAGGGTGGTGGGGCCTAAGTCGGCATACCTGGCTGGCTTCCCAGTATGTGAGTTGAGCCCAGGAATGCTGTGAAGCCAAAATGCAGAGGTTGACGAAGGCACAGCCCATGGAGATGTGAAAGTAGAAAGGGAAGAGTTTGCTCTGCACAAGACCAAAAGTATGTCTGGGAAGCCCTCGGAAAAGCAGGAAGCCTGTGGGATGCAGGAAGCCACATACCTGTTAGACTCTTCTGAGTCCGCACTCATTCCTGTCCCCACCCGATACCGAGCACATCCAGGCCGAAGATCCCTACCTGAGGCGAAGGTCACCCACATTTGCATGCCCCAGGCCCCTGACAACACCAGTAGATGGACCACTTTTGTCAGGTTCCCCAGGTTCCCACCGTCCTCCATCTTGCAGGTCTGGGAAGGAGGCACCATGCATCAGAGCTTTACCTCTACCTGGAGGCGGTCAGACTCAGTGTGTCTGCTCAAGGCCTGGGTCATGGCCAATCCAGCAGAGAGCCAGGGAAAGCAAACCAGAAATGGAGGTGGGGGAGAACAAGAGCAGTCCTGTGGCAATCCCAACTCCATTACTGCAAACATCGGCCCTCAAGATCTCAAGGCCTCTGGACCCCAATGTCTATGTGACTTCTGCAACCCCTAAATTTGACTCAGCTGCTCAAACTTGCACGCAGCCCTTAAGTCTTCAAAGATCATCCCAGGAAGCCAGTTCTAACTACAACGACCCCTGCTCTCAAAATTCCATTGTGAAGATTCCCCAAAAGCCTTCAGACACCACCTATGCTTGGGAAACCCCAAATCTCATCCGGAGGATATCGACACCACCACTAGGAACTCCGACCTCAACTCGCAGCTCCCAGAAATCCAGGACCAGAGGCGCTAGGGCCGAATCTTTGGGGCCAGGCGGGCAGGGCTCAGTACTCACTCCAGCGTCCCCGGTGGCCGGTGGCCCTCTTCAGCCACCTCCCCTGGTAGAACCAAGAGCTCGTCCCGCCTCCAGCTAAAGCTGAAGCCAATCAGATCGTAGATCTGGGGCCTCCTCGTCGGCCCTCTTAGATCTTTACTAACTGATTCGCAGAAACCGTCCTGAAATCCCGCCCCCTCGCCAGACTTTTATCCAATTACACCGTGACTCTAGAGACCTGCGGAAGGGGGAAGGAGCCAATGAGGCCTCCGGGGGGCGGGGCTAAAATACTAGCCACACCCCTCTCTGTGACTCTACCTTTAGGCTCCGCGCGTTTTAATGCGATGGTATCCCCACGGGATCAAATTTCAGCGTCACAGCTGGGGACTGGCTTCGCGGTCCCTGATGGGAGAGCATGAACAGGTGGTATGTGGTAGGTGGGTGCGGAAAGGGGTCGGAAGCCTGGCGGATACAGGATTCACGGCCCGAGGGGCGGGGCTCATGATGATGGCCCCGCCCCCTTCCCCAAGACTTCTCCCGTGTTGAGCAGTGGGATTAACAGCGATGGGGAAAAGGATGGGGACTAGACCTGGGACTTGTCTGCATTTGGCACTCAGCAATACCTCTTCCCTTCTCCCCTCCAAGCCTCTCTGTGCTCTTTTGTTCCCCAAGTCCCAAGATCTTTGCCTGACGTTCAAAGACAAACACACTGTGTTTGTGCCACTACTGTGTCAGGCTCTGGCATGAATATCTTAACCACAGCAACCCAGTAAGATGGAGAGTATGTCATTACATTTTTATAAATGGGGACAATGAAACATGGACAGACTCAGTAACACTTCCAGAATCACACAACTGGGAAGGGGTAAAGCCAGGATTTGAACCCCGGCCATACAACTGGAGGGTCTCCTTAATCATCATACTGTTCTGCTTCTGGAAGTGAGGGCCTCAATGAAGTGATGATTCTTGAAGGGATAGTCTAGAACATTTCAGACAGAAGAATAACTCCTTTGTCACAGGGTGGGTGTGAGAAATCCAATGAATTCTTAAGGTGGTGGCAGCCTTCAGTGAGATGCTCAGAAAATAAGAGCTTACAAAAGGATTGAGGGAGATTTTTTAAGATTTATTTTTCTGCATACAAGAACTAGGGTGTAAGTTAGAGGTGCAGGGGGCAGGGTGAGTGGGTTCACCAGAGAGTAGCGAGCTGAACAGGCAGATGTACTGAAATACACTGCTGAGGGAGCAGAGGGCGAGACAGGAGAAGTCTGCTGCACGATGTGGGGTAGCTCCCTGGCCGGCCAAGGGATCGAACTTATGCTGCAGTGGCTGGCAGTAGCTTGATAGCACTGTCTTTAACCCCTGCACCACCAGGAAGGCCCTGAGGGAGATTTTTATAGGGGAAATTCTAAGTAGGGTTTTGAAGAGTGCATAGGAGTCCAGGAAGACTGAGCCAGGGGAAGGACACCTGGCAGAGAGCCTAGCAAGGGCAGAAGAGAAAGGCCTGGAAGGTTTGAGGAACTGGCTGAGTGTGACTCAAGGCAAGGTATCCTTCACCCGAAGTTTTATCTGACCTAAGCTTCTCCATGTATATACTAGCCCCAACTACACTGGAACAGGGAGGGGGGTGTGAAGGTGAGACCCATAGCTGAGTTCTTTCTTATTGTTGGTCTCACCTAGCACAGGCCTGAGCCCCAATTCAGCTAACAATTATTGAATAGATGTGCCCTGTCTCTCCTGCTCATGTTCTATGGCTCCCATTTACCTGGAAGCCTGGTCCCAACTCCCCTGTTTTACTTTCAATACCTTACTTAAGCTGTCCTGCTAACCTCCTGCTGCTTCCTCTTCAACCCTGCCTCTAGCACAGAGCATGTGGTTCTTCACCTCTAAACTTTTGCATATGCTGTTTTCTGCCAGAAATTCCCTTCCTATAGGGTTCAGTATCAGTATCAAGATCTTTTTTTTTAAGGCTCTTCTGAGGGCTTACTACCTCCTGTGGGGCTTTGGGGCTTACTACCTCCTGTGGGGCCTTCTCTCTGCCCTGCCCAACTTGTAGGGCTGAGATGGTCTTCCGTGCAACCTCTAGCAGCTTCTGCTCCTACCATAACTTAGAGACTCTATGTTTAAGGCTGAGGCCTCTGTGGGTTGTCAGGGAGGGTCTGGGAGTGTCGGGACATGGGGACTGGTCTCAGAGCAGTCTTTTGTCCCCTATACTTGAAGCGATCCTCTTCTGGCTGGCCTACCCCAGGACCCTGACAACTCTGTGCCCTGCCTCTGCTCATCTCCATCACCTTCCAACTTGTGTTTGCCTGATAACAGGAAGTGTGACAAGTACTGGGGTTCGTCAATGGGCAACCCTGGGACTGGGGAGCCAAGAGGGGCTAGAGTGCTCCTGGCTGGCCCTCAAGAAGCCATCACCTCCCCAGCCTCTTCCTCAGACAAGATCTTGGACTATACAATTCACTGGTCCCGAGGCCCTGAGCCAGAGACGTTGGCACCAGCTACTTCTGAGAACAAAGTGCTGACTGTAGACTGGAGGCCAGGGAAGGGCTCAGGGTCTGGGTCACATGGGTCTCCCTCGTTCCCCAACGTAGAGTCACAGGAATGCTGTAATGACCAGGAGCTTCTGAAGAGGATTCACAGCATTACTAAGGTCACCCCCACCAGGGGAACCCCTTCCTGCCTCATCACAATCTACCACTGTGGGGCTTAGGGTGGGGGCAGTGGGGGTAGGATGGTTCTCCTCAAGAACCTTCACACCATGTGTCCTCAACACCTAGGACAATGTCCAGTGCAGTCAGGAGGCCTGTACTAAAAATGTCTTAAATGAAAGGGCAAAGAAGGAAGGAATGGAATGGATGTACAATTGTGTGTCTTGGGGGGGGTTTTATGTGTGATAGTCTCTGAGTGACTGCCTGCATGTCTGCCTGTGGTAGTAGTTATGCATCTGACAGGTGTATGAGTGGAAGCCCTTGGGCTTACAACTTAGCATGCATAGTTGTGTCTGAGGTTGTATGTCTGTGTGACTGCTTGTGTTTCAACAACCAAGTGAGGTTGTGCATCAGGTCTTATTAGTGCCCACTCCAGACACCTCAATGTAATTTGTCCTGAAGGAGGAAGGCCATTGCCTGAGCCCAAGACAGAGACAGGGTTCTACAGCCCTGTGCTCTTGAGCAGCCCACAGACCTGCAATGTAGGGAACCAGTCACAGTGTACCCCAAGAATGTGCAGGCCAGGGCAGGATATGAACATGCACCTGCAGGTAGCTTTCCTGCACCTGGGGTTTGGGACACCAAGAATTCAGCAGACCCAACTAATGTCCAACCCCTCAGACTGGGTTGGGGTAAGTAGGAGGGTAGCCCAAGGATGGATTTCCACTGCCTTCTTGTCCCCTCCCCAGAAACCCTTGGAGATCAACTCTTCCAAAGTCAAAGGTGAGACCCCTCCTTCCCAATAAGACTGAACTGAACCTGCCAGTTTCTGCCTCTACCCTCTGCCCCAGCCTCAACCCACCCACAACTGCTGCCCACTCATCCCTGCCCTAGCCTTACCTGACTCTAGCCTCTGACCTTGCCTTCCATCCCTGCCTCTACCTCAATCCCTGCCTCTAGTCTGGGGATTCTGCCTCTTGCGCCTGCTTTTACCCTGCCCCTGAGCTTCTGCTGACTTCTGCCCTGACCTTGATGTTACTCTGCCCTCCCCCCAGCCTCTGCTAATCCTCTGCTCATAGCTAATAAGTCCACTATGGTGATTCCTGACTCCCAGAAACACCTGCGATGTGAACTGGAGTCAGTCAAGAGCCAGCTACAGGCCCAGACCAAAGTGAGCAGCCTCAGTCCTATCTCCAGCAACTTCTGCCCTGGTCCACCATCTTTTCTCCCACCTAGATCTGACCTTTGACCTTTTCCCCCAGGCTTTTGAGTTCCTCAACCATTCAGTGACCATGTTGGAGAAGGAGAGCTGCCTGCAACAAATCAAGCTCCAACAGCTTGAAGGTGAGGTCTGGCAAGGTCAAGTAAAGGCTGGACACCAGCCCTGTTGGAGTCAGCTAAGGCCATGGTGAGAGGAGGTGAGTGAGTCTGGGTTCAGGGTGTGGTCCAAGTTCAGTCATGGTTCTACTGTTTCGGCAGAGGTGCTGGGCCCCACAAGCCACCAGACAGAGAAGGAAGGACACAAGTGGGGCATGGAGCAGGGACACCAGGAACTATATGGGGCTCTGGCACAAGGCCTGCAGGGGCTGCAAAAGACCCTGCGGGACAGTGAGGAGGTGCAGCGGGCCCGCACCACCCGCTGCCTGCAGCTGCTGGCCCAGGAGATCCGGGACAGGTGGGCATGCCTGAGGGCTTTGGTAGGGAGGGGAGGCCAAGGAAAGGAAATCAGAAGCATAATGAAAGGTACTGGGAAGAAGCCTAGGTAAGAGGGACTAAGGGGTCAGAGAAGGCTTAGGAAACAAAAGGAGAGGATAGGGGAGAGACAGCTGGCTGGTAGGGGGAAGGAGGGTATGTGTGGGAGATTAGGAGGCCAAAAGGCAGGGAAGACAGGAAACTGGAGGTGGCATGGGAAGGGAGGCCAGGGGATCTGGAAGCCGAGGGGTGGTATGGGAAGCTAGAGGGAGGGGAAGAGGCTAGAAGGTGGGGGAACGGGTGGTTGAACACATTAGTACATGTGAAGTTGGGGAGGCTTGGGGAGGCAGGTGGGCAGAGGGGGTCAGGGTCTAGGCAGGGAGGAGTGGTTTAGGCTCTACTTTCCCTCAGCAAGAAGTTCCTTTGGGAGGAGCTGGAGCTGGTGCGGGAAGAGGTCACCTTCATCTATCAGAAGCTCCGTGAGTACCTGGAGCCCACAGCCAAGAGGGTGGTTGTTCTGCAGTCTGGGCCCCCCTGAGTGCCCTCCCCCCACAGAGGCCCAGGAGGAGGAGATCACAGAAAACCTGATGAACATCCAGAAGATGCAGAAAACCCAGGTGAAGTGCCGAAAGGTGAGCAGAGAGATCGGGGACCTTGCAGAGAGGTAGGGGGATCTCTGCCAGCCTTCACCACTGGTCTGGAGTCAGAAGGCCTGGGTTCAAGATTCAGCTCTGTCACTTATTTCGTTATGTCACTTGTGTCATGGTGGCAAGTCATGTCCCCTCTCTAGGCCTGCATTTCCCCATCTGTGTAATGGGCATAATGGCACAGTCTTACCTGAAGGGGTAGCCATGATAACTGAGTGCTAAGCATTTTGAAGGCAGCCTGGCATGTACTAAGTCCTGTAGAATGGTCGTCTTTCACCATCATCATTGTAATTACTATTGTTGTTCTCTCATTCCACTCCCTTTGCCCCAGGTCCTGACCAAGATGAAGCAGCACGGGTATGACACATCCAACCGGCCAGAGACTGAGGAAATGCCATCAGGAGGCACTGGCTCCTGGAAGGATGACCTCCAGAAGGAACTGAGTGACATATGGTGATGCCCAGCTCACTCTCTAACCTCTGACTCCTGACCTTATCTCCCTGCCCCCACCATCACATCAAGCAGTGGCCACCAGGACCTGGAGCCCCCATGAATCTAGTCCTCCTTCTCCTCTCAGAACTCACCTCTGCCCCTGACCTCACCAAGCTCCCTACCCCAGGCCTGAGTAGTGCAGAGTCTCCCAGGGCCCCCAGCTCCCCATCTCCCCACAGGTCTGCTGTGCATGTGCTTCAGAACTCATTTGATGGCCTTACCATGCCTTCAGGGGGCCACCACAGGACCATGAACCTCAGGGGTAAGGGGAACTGAACATTGCTCTGGGGTGGGGGGGGTCATTCTTAAGCTTCTCACATGGAAGCCAATATTTGGGGGCTGTATTTATCAGGGCTTATTCTGGGGTCACATTAAGTAATGTTCATTAAGGAGTCCTTGACGTTTCATTCACTCAGAATTCACTGGCATCTTTCTTAAGGCATAAGATTCAAGGATCATTCTCATCACACTTTCTGATCATGTTGGGTCCCATTAAAGGGATATGATTGAGGACCACTAAGTTATAATATCAAGGAACACCGGGCTCCTAATCAGAGGTCACTAAAGGGTCACATTCAGGATTCATGCATAAAGGGCCAGAAGGTTTCTCTCCCTCCAGCAGGCTACAAGGGGCACCGGTGCTTGAGCCCTCCACTCCCATCCTGGGACTCAGACTCAGACTCAGACCAGGACCCTTCCCAGGCATCATTCAGCAAGAACCGCTCCTTCCCACTTGGTGTGGATATTCCCCTGCCCCATCCAACCCTTCCCCTCCTGGCCTGCCCTGGAATCCCACCCTATGAACCCTCCCATCTCCCAAACTAGGCATCTTCCCCCTGACCTCTGACCCTGAGTTTCCCTGGACCCAGGACAGGCCCTGACGGCCCCCTCTCTTTCCACAGCCTGAGCAGCCGGGACTGCTCTCCCCGAAGAGCCCTCCAGAGAAAAAATAAACTAGCCAAGACCCTCCTTCACCTGTGGACTGTTGCTTCTGCGGCTGCGTGCGCATGGAAATGCACCCTCCCCCGACCAATCTACTTCTCTGTGTTAGGGTGGCTGAAGAGACTCCAGGGGCTGTTTGGGATGGGTGGGCTAAAGGTCAGGGGACATTGTGAGACAGACAGACTCACGGGAAGTCTGCAGATTCGAGTGGTCAGAGGGGTTCTTCAGCACTGGTGGCCAGCCTTCTTTTCTGGGGAGCCGCGGCGATCTGGCCTGCTGCTTCTACTACCCAAAAGGGAACCCGGGAGATTGTGACCCTGGACCACGCTCTGGGACCCAGCACTTCTGTTTCCTTAAGCACCCCCTCTCGCAGGTTCTTGCGCTGAAGCCCCAGCTTCCATTCCCTCCCGAATCTGTTCTAAGACGCTCCACCCCTAGGAGCAACCGAGGCCCCGCCCTACTGTCTTATGCAAATAGGGGCCCTGAGGCCCCGCCCCTCGCCCAGAGTCTCCAGGCGTCTGCGCGAGGCGGCCGAGCCGGGTCCACAGCGACTCCATTCCTGCGTCCGCCGCGGGGCCCAGCAGTCCGTCTGTCCGTCTCGCCGCGCCAGGGTCGTCTAGGCGGATCGGGGACTCAGGCGGCGGCATCCTCGACTCGGTGAGGGGAGGGGTTTGGGACGTCCCCTGCGCTCCCGCCCGCGGGCTTCGGACCATCAGTCAGTCTGTCCCGCCCGGTTCGGTTCCAGCAGGTCGAGTCCCCTGCGGGTCCAACGGCAGGAGGGGGAGGGGAGGCGACTAGCTGGGGCTTCCGAACCGGGCTGGGGGAAGGGAGTGTGGAGAGGGAACCCCAGGCTTGAGAAGCCAAGCGGCGGTGGTGAGGGTGACTGCGATTGTGTGTTTGTCGTTATTAAGTGTCAGTGTGTGGTTGTGTAACTATCATTTTGTGTGGCTTGTATGGTTTGGGGGGGGTGTCAATATGGTGTGTGTGTGTGTGTGACTGTGTCTGCCATGGCTGTCACTGTGTAGCTGTCCTACGGATCAGTCTGACGGTGTGTGTGGTGGCTGTTGTTGTAACTGCTATCACTGTGATAGTGTGACTGTCTTGGTGGTTGTGTGCATATGACTGTCGCTGCTATTGTGTGTTCTTTCTGATGGTGTGTGAGGAGCTGTTTTGTGTCCCAGTGTGTGGCCATGATTGTGACCCTGTTTTGTGTGGCTCTGTGTGTGAGTTTGTGTCATGGGCCATGTATTTGTCCTTGCAGAACCATGTGGCTGTGGTTGTGAATGGCACCGTGCCTCTCCTATGACTGTTAATGTGGATAAGAGACTGCTAATGTGTGTGACTGTCACAGAGTATCTTGTAATTGGGGATGTGATGTTGTGACCAGTTCTGTGACCCCCACTGTGTTCGCTCTTTTAGATGTGATTCTTAGATGTGATTCTTGATTCTTTTAGATGTGATTCTTTTAGATGTGATTCTTGGCAGCCCTGAGTCTACATCCCTGATAATGGTGGGGAAAGGGCTTGTGTGGGGCTGTGAGGTGTGTGGAGGTCCTCCAATGTGTTGCTGTGACTGTGCGTGTGTCACAGGAATTGTCTGATCTGTGTGGGTGTTTGTGGCAGGCCATGTGGTACTGTACTCTGTGTGTGTGTGTATGTGTGCAGTTATGTATGGTGGGTGTTGGGCACCTGTCTGAATGAACAACCCTATCTCTTTCATCACAAGACTGGCACTCAGCTCAATCCCAACAGGCACTCAGTCCTTGTTGGTGGATAGACAAATGCTGTGCCATGGTGTGTGGGTATGTGTGTGGTGGTTGGGGTGGAGGCTCTGGCTGTGTTGTATATTCTGGGGGTGCCAGAGTGGGTGATTGTGTCTCTGGAAAGTGAGGGAGCAATGGAAGCTGGGCATGTGGGATCTCTGGCAACTCTTACTCCATGTTACACCACAGCACAGAGCAAGTTATGTGGATGGGGCACTGGACCCAAAGTGCCTTTCCTCATCTCCCCAGGCCTCAATTTCCACTCCTGTGCCATGGGGGTGACCATGCCTGCCCTGCTGGCCACTAGGAGCAGCTGTGAGTCTGTGGGCCTGGCAGCCACCTGTGGGAAACCATAGGGCCCTTCCACAGGTGAGGTGAGGCTGGAAGATTAGGTCAAACAGGTGTGACTGTGTTGGCCTCTGTAGTACTGGGGACTGAAGTTTAATTGGGAGAAGGGAGGGATATGTAAGAGTGGGGTTAATAGCCCCCTCCTGATACTGGGAGGCAGACTGGCTAGGAGGAGGAGGGGGAAGGAGGGAGAGAAGGAGAGGCAGCTGGGAGAAAAGGAGGGTTTGGCTAGGAGCCCACACCAGTCAGGCAGCGCCCAAAGGGACTGGAGAGAGAGGGCCCTATGGGCCATGGGAGAAAAAGATAAGGGAAAGGGCCTGACTAGGGTTGGTGACAAAGAGCACGAGGTCTCCTCGATAAGACATGTTGGGAAAGAGGATGGGATTCCCTAAAAAATGATGGAATTGAGGACCCTTTTAAATGCCATGGGGGAGGAGTCCCCATTAAGATGAAGTCTCTTCTAAGGTGTGAGGTCAGGGAATCCTGCTCAGTAAGGAAAGGCCCTCCTAAAAGGCATGAGACTGGAATCTCCTAATAGAGGGGAAACCTCTATAGAATCTCTGGGTTCCCTTTTAGCACCTGAGGTGAAAGGGTTGTGTCAGGGAAGGCCCTTTTTCTAATGAGTGAAATCAGAGACCAGTTGGGGGCAGGATTTGAATTTGCAGAGGTGTGGCCAAAAGACTCAGGGGGCAGATCCAAGGCTTCCAAACCTTAGTCTGTGGGGCCAAGGGTGGGGTCAGAGAACTTAATTCCTGCTGGTGACCTCTCCCAGGCCCCACCCTGGCGGCCCTACTCGCTCCCCACCTCTGCAGGCCTGTCCTTCACCATGGCAGGAGGGAGACCTCAGCTGAAGAGGAGCTTCTCCATTATTCCCTGTTTTGTCTTTGTGGAGGTGAGGAGCCCTGTAACTCCCCAGACCCTCGGCTGGGAGGGAGTGCACCTGTCATCTTGTCTCCCATCTCCTTGCCAGGTCCCCACCTGTACCCATTTTTCCATCTCCCTGACTCCTGCCCTGCCACACATCTCCCTGATCTCTCACTCCACATCTCTCTGGGAAGTGAAAGTGTGGTTCCCTTCCTATTAATGTGCTTAGGTGCTTGGACTCAGAAGTGGCATTCCCTGCGAGCCAGTCCCCTTACTGCAGGACTCTGGGCACCTCGCATACCTCCCAGCCTCTGTTTTCTCATCTGTCAAATGGGTATAATTAGAGTGCCTCTCACGTAGGCCTGTTATGAAGGTAAAATGTATTAATTTGTAGAAGGAATTTGTTAGGACCCCACCTAAAGTAGGGGTTATACTTCTCATAGCTGCAGGTACTTCCACCAGTAATATTATCCCTCCCTGTTGGCCTGTCCCTCCACCAGCCACTGTCTGTCTCTCACTGATCCAATCCCTGGTCCTGTCCTCACTCCCTGTCCCCAGTCCTTTCTTTTTCTCTGGATTCTATTTGATTCCCTTCTCCTTCTTTGTCTCTCTTCTGGCTCCCCTCTTCTTGTTTCTATCTCCATCTCTTTTCTCCATGTCTTTCTGTTTCTCCCAGGTCCTGACCCTTCTTCACCCCTCCTCTACTTCCCTCTGTCTCTCTCACTCTTTATCCCCCTCAGTCTTGATCTCTCTCTGTGCGTCACTCTCCTTTCCTCTGTCTAGCTCCATCTCTGTGTCTCTGTCTCCCAGCTAGGGAGTGACCCTCTCTCTTCTCTCTATATGTCTCTCTTCCCACCCTGCCTGGGTGGCAGTCAGTGCTACTGGGAGTTGTGGTCCTCCTTGCTTACCGCCTGGAGTTCACAGACACCTTCCCTGTGCACACCCAAGGATTCTTCTGCTATGACAGCACCTATGCCAAGCCCTACCCAGGACCTGAGGCTGCCAGCCGAGCACCCCCTGCACTCATCTATGCCCTAGTCACTGCTGGACCCACCCTCACGGTGAGACGGGAGGGAGCCTTGGTCAGAAGGTGGGAGGACCTCCCAGAAGGCAGAAGGGCTGAGGAGGTGGGCAGAGGGCTGGGCTAGAAGGCCAGGAAGACCCTGCCTTGGTCTTGCCCTCAGATTCTGCTGGCCGAGCTGGCGCGTGCCTTTTTCCCTGCACCACCCTCAGCCATCCCCACTATCCGGGAGAGCACTATCGTGTCTGGGGCCTGCTGCCGCTTCAGCCCCCCACTCCGGAGGCTAGTTCGCTTCCTAGGTGAGTGATGCTGCCACAGGGGTCAGCTTTGCAAAGGGATATGGGCCAGGCTCAACCCTGATAAACATTCCAGGGGGAGGAGGGCTGTGAACTGTCATGATGGTGATTTCAGAGGGCAAAGAAGGTTATGGGCTCAGGCTCAAGGAGATTAAGGACATGGGTGGGGCCTGAACCAACCATGATGGCAAATACAAGAGGAGGACACAAAAATGCCTTTAGGAGAGGTTAAAGAAAAAAAGGGGACATAGGCTCAAGCCAAACACCAAGGGAACCTAGGACAGAGAGATGAGATCCTGGCCATAACTGATGGCCATAGGGCAAGGAAGGGTGCAGTGGTCATGTGTCATGGTCCCCATGAAACTAGAGTGGATATCCAGCTTCAGCCGATTAGTGACCCAGGGGAAAGTGATCAACTCAGGAATCTCAAGTCCAGGACAGGTAGAGAAAGGCTCTGAATTACCATCAGAGTTACCCTAGGAGGCCCTGGGCATGGTCTTAATCTTGATATCATGCTGGTGAGGGGTCTCAGCCTAGCTAGAAAGAGTTCTGAGGATGGTCCACTCCTGACATAGTGATAATCCCAGGGGACAGAGGCCAGCTGTATGGAGTGTCCCAGGAGCAAGAAGCACAAAAGTACCATCACAGTGGTCCCAAGGGAGCAGGACCTTGATGGAACTGTTATGGGGCACAGCATTTTGGGTGAGTTGAGGTATGAATCAATGGCAGTCACAGGAAATGGAGAATAGGGACCCAGATGAGCCATAGGAGACTCACAAGAGGAGGGTGACATGGGGCATGAGAACTCCGGGCATCAACTTCCTCTCCCATCCGCCTGGCAGGGGTCTACTCCTTTGGCCTCTTCACCACGACCATCTTCGCCAATGCGGGGCAGGTGGTGACCGGCAACCCCACGCCGCACTTCCTGTCCGTGTGCCGCCCCAACTACACAGCGCTGGGCTGCCTGCCGCCCTCACCCGACCGGCTGGGTCCTGACCACTTCGTCACTGACCAGGGTGCCTGCGCTGGCAGCCCCAGCCTGGTGGCCGCTGCGCGCCGCGCCTTCCCCTGCAAGGATGCGGCCCTTTGTGCCTACGCAGTTACCTACACAGCGGTGAGCCCCGTTGTGGGAGTGCAGTAGTGGGGGGCTGCCAGCTGGCTGCAGGTCACCTAGGTGGCTGCTACCTCCAGTTCCCACCCTGGTGAGGCCACGCCCAGCGCTGCGACACCTCCCTTAGGGAGGAGTCTAACGGCAGAGGCACTGACCTCTTCCCTATATTTGGGTCGCACCCCTCAGAGTCTCTGTCTATTGCTGTTTCTAACTGCGTGCCTTGGTATTTGACCCCATGCCTTCTGACCCAGTAATGCCAAGCTCTCAAGAGACTGTTGCCTCTGCCCTGTGGATGCATGCTGTTGTCACTGGATACCTGACTTTCTCCTTTGGAGCCTAGGCCTGCTTGCCCCAGGTCCTGGATATTGGCTGGGAGATGGCCCCACAGCCTTTCAACTCTGCCCCCTGCGGCCTTGCCCCATTGTTGATTTTGTTGCCTGCTTTAGCCATGTCGTTTTAACTCCTTTTTCTAGCTTCTTGGGCTAGCTTCTAACCCTGTCTGTGGTCCCCTAGTGTTTGAGCTCCTCCATCTCCTGGAGCTCCTCAACTTTCTTCTTGGGCCTACACTCCATACCCTCTGCTTCTGTGGCCTGGCCTTAACAGAGCAGGCATCTGTCCCCATTTGAGACTGATCCCCAGAGATATGGGCCCAGACCCTGTCTATGGCTCTTTGGTGCCTTAGCCATGCACTCATAATCAAGAACCCACCTTGAGTCCATGGCTCCACCCCTGAACTTCATCCAGCCCCACCCAGTTACTTCCCCTGGCCATAGCCTCCCTCCCTAAAAATTCTGAGAATTCTGGTCACTTCCCATCCGAGAACATTGTGCACACTTGAGTTTGGCAACTGCACTGCCATGTGTATCCTGACAAGTCTGACTCCCTCAGATGTACGTGACACTCGTATTCCGCGTGAAGGGCTCCCGCCTGGTCAAACCATCACTCTGTCTGGCCCTGCTGTGCCCCGCCTTCCTGGTGGGTGTGGTCCGTGTGGCTGAGTATCGGAATCACTGGTCAGATGTACTGGCTGGTTTCCTGACTGGGTCTGCCATCGCTACCTTTCTGGTAAGCGCAAGAGTTGGGGCCACATGGTAGTGAAAGATGGGTTATGTGTGACTTGACTTTGGCTAAGTCCCTTAACCTTATCCTGTCTCGATGTCCTCATCAGTGAAATGGGATCACAGGACCAGGATGAGCCATGTGCTTTGAGTATTAAACATTCAGTAATATTTTTTAAAAAGATTTATTTATTTACACAAAACTGGGGTTCAGGTCAGAGGTGCGGGAGGGTGAGAGAATTCACCAGAGACAGAGCAGGGAGCTGAACAGGCAGACAGACAAAGACACTGCTGAGGGGAGCAGCGGGCGAGGCTGGAGAGATCTGCTGTACCATTGGGTTTCTCCCTGACCAGCCAGGAATCAAACCCATGCTACAGAGGCTGCAGACAGCTTCACAGTATGGCACTCAACCCACTGCACCTCCAGGGAGGCCCTCAGTAATATTTTTTTAAAGTCAAAGTTAATACTGTATAGAAACAAGTAAAAAAAAATTAATTTAAAAGACCCATAGTATACAAAGAATAAAAACTTGAAAGGCAGGATCAGATCCTGTGCTTGCACAACTCAGCCTTACCTCCCTTTTCCTAGTACCACCCTGTGTAATAAATAATGGTAGTACTTACCTCTTAGTAAAATGGAAAGCACAAAGCTTGGAACATAGTGAGCACCATAAAAAGTAAGCTTTTTTTTTTTTTTTAAAGATTTATTTATGCATACAAGAACTGGGGTACAGGCCAGATGTGTGTGGGATGAGAGGATTCACCAGAGACAGAGTGGGGAGGAGAACAGGCAGATCTACTGAGATACACTGCTGAGGGGAGCAGCGGGCGAGACAGGAGAGGTCTGCTGTGCCATGTGGGTAGCTCCCTGGCCGGCCAGGGATTGAACTCATGCTGCAGAGGCTGCGGATTGCTTCACAGTGCTGTGCTTAACTCCTTGTGCCACCAGGGAGGCCCAAAATTAAGCTGTTTTTGTAAACTTAAACCTCAGTTTTCTTATCTGAATGACAGGGATGATATTTACTCAACTACTTTATTAGCCTCGGGCCTTAACACCCTCCTCTCACCCTATCCTAGGTCACCTGTGTCGTGCATAACTTCCAGAGCCGGCCACCTTCTGGTCGAAGGCTCTCCCCCTGGGAGGATCTGGGCCAAGCCCCCCCCATGGATAGCCCCCTCGAAAAGTTAAGTGTGGCCCAGGTAAGGGGGGCCGGGGGCCACTCCCGGCTGGAGAGGGTGGTGGGTGGAGGGCTACGAAGGAGGCAAGAAGTCAGACAAGAGGTGGGGGGCTCAGGGTAATGGGGAGTGATCGCTGGTCTCTGTGGCCATGGGTCCTGGGGGGACAGTCCCACAGAATATAAGGGTTAGCCCTTCTCTCTTCCTGTTATGGGTATGTGATTATGCTTGAGAACTCTGGTTGTCTTTTCCATTGGGCTCTCTACCTGATGAGTCTTTCATGGCTTTGGTCAGTGGGGCCTGGGGGGCCGCTAGCCCCTTCCTTCTACCTCTTTGTCTCAGGAACCCGAGGCCTGCAGGCCGCATTCGACACCGGCACGGCTCACCCCATCCAGTGAGTGTTAGGGGAGTGGGGGGACAAATAGGGGAACTTCCAGATGGCAGTAACTGCCATGGAGGACTCGCCTATGCTCTCATGGCTCCCTCCAAAACATTCTCATCACCTGACCTCTGCTCCTTAACCCCCAGAGCCGCAGAACTGCGCCCGCCGTGGCCACCTGATTCCCAGCTGCGTATCCTCCAGGGCTCCAGCCATGTGTTCGTCACCCCGTGTGCCCCGCCCTCGACTGAGGTCTGAGCCGACGCCCCTGCCACTGCCCGTGCCCCTGCCTGCACCGACCCCCAGTCAGGGCCCCTCGCCCTCCTCCCCTGGACCTGGGGGGCCAGGCGGGGGAGGTGGTGGGCGTGGCCGGAAGTTGCTGCTGCCCACACCCCTGCTGCGGGACCTATACACCCTTAGTGGACTCTACCCCTCTCCATTCCACCGGGACAACTTCAGCCCTTACCTGTTTGCCAGTCGTGACCACCTGCTGTGAGACCTACCCACCCACCCAGAAGCTACCCTGTCCCCATTTCTTCCCTGCCACACGTGTGTGCACTTACCATGTGAGTGCCAAAGCTCCCTGTCCCCAAACCAGCCAGGCTCAGACATCAGAAGATGGCTGGAAGGACAGTTGGGGCACCCCCTGCCTCACTTGCCCTCTGGGACATCCAAGTGTGCATAAATGGGAGATGGACCCTTGCCCCTAGGAGTCCCCTTTGAAGGGCCACATCCTGACCCCATTGGTCATTGCCCATCCAACGGGAGCCCCTATCCGAATTCTGACCTAAAGGAGTTTAGCCAGTTGCTGTCTCCCCTCACTTCTTAGAATCCTGAAGCAAGTGGGCAACTTCAGCCACTATTTAGTGTTAGAATAACCAATAAGAGCCTTGGTTTTCAGAATTTCTAGGGTGGGTGGGTATGATTCCAGTCAATGGGGGACCACCCATGTCTAAGCATGTGCAAAGGAAAGGAGGGGAATCAGGTCATCCTTTGTCATTAGGTCCTCTCTCCTCATATTCAAAGAGTCTATCTAGAGTGTGGGGGGTAGGCTCCCCTGTGGCAAGGTCATTATAGACACCCCTACACTTCTCACTCCCTCCCCTATGTACAACCTATCATTGACTCCTTAACTCCCTGCTTAATGCAGGACTTGTCCCAGTTCAGAGGTTTTGGGGTTCAGGGTGCTGTGTCCCCTTGCCTGTACCCAGGTTAACCCAAATCCTTATTTATTAGGGCTGTGAAAAAGGACTTTTTTTCTCAGAACCCACCCCTGTTCTTCACACTGCCCCCCCCCATGCCTCATGCAGATGTGCCATCATGGGGAGCATGGGTGGAGCAAAGAGGGCTCTCCCATCCTGGGCAGACAAAGGCAGTGGGCAGAGGAGACACTGCCCTCCTTCCCTGCCCCCTCCTCATCTTTAATAAAGACCTGTTTGTAACAGAAGTTTGGCCACCAGCCTCCCTCCCCCTGGTGGCGATATGTGTGGGACTTCAATCACAGATCCAGGTATTGGTAAGACTGAGTATGGGTATATTGTCACTGTGTGTCTGAGGGTGATTGTGGACAGCCAGCGTGGGGTTAGGGGGCTAGTAGTTTGGGCTTAAATACTGGCTTATAACTCCTGGCTTAACTACTGGCTGTGTGGCCTCAGAAAAGTTAATTAACCTTTCCAAGCCCTTGTTTCTTCATCATCAAATGTGGACAGACCCACAAGTCCCATGTAAGAAACATAGTGAGGGGCCTCATAGTGAGGGGCCTATTTTCTCTGGACATCTAGCCTTGTTTCTGACCACAGCCAGGGCACAAAGAATAGGATAAAGGGTCCTAGTAGCAAAAGGGGATGCTGAGAACACTAAAATAACCCGTGGTTGCTTGGATGAGAGCAGGATTTCTGATTGTGAGAGTGTGTTGTGTCTAGATCACTGAAGACCTAACAGAAACCAGACACGATAGGAGGGTCAGGGAGCCACATACCCCATCACCACCACTGTGGCTCTGAGAGGGCTTCAGACAGGCCATTTGGGCAGAGTCATCCAAGAACCAGAAAAGGGTAGTCTACTACTTTACCCATTCATTCATTCAACATACACTATGGAACGCCGTCTGTGAGCTAGAACCTGTTTAGTTAGGCACAGGGGCTGAAGCAGTGGAGCCCTGTGGAGCTCACATGCTAATATATGAAACAAACAATAAACAAGATAAATAAGCTATATACAGAGCCACAATTCACGATTTGAGAAAGCTTTGAAAACCAAAATTTTTTTTTCACAACTCACTTGTAGCAAAACCTGACCTGAACTGACATGACATTATATATAGTTTTTATTTCACTCAATGAATATATTCTTATGTTTCACTGAAGGTAAGGCATTTGATTTTAAGATGTTATTCCAGGGTTGTTATACAATACATAATATAACATTATGCCTTTTGAAAATCTGAAAAATTTTGAATTCCAAATTGTAGGATTGAGGATTTAGGGTGGGGATCTCTGATATTTTAAATACTGATCAGTGATAATATCTAGCCTGAAGACTCAGGCTAGAGGAGACAATGGGACAACTGTGGGATGAGGACATGGTTTGCAATTTAAAGAGGATGGTCAGGAAAATTTTCTGTAAGTAGATGGCACTGGAGATGAGGTGTGAAGGAGGGAGGGAGGAAACCATGCAAACCTTAGGGGTGGGGCAAGGACTGTTGCAAGTGGGAAAGTCCTGAGATGGAAACATGCCTGCTGTGTGCAGGGAATAGTGAGGAGACCTGTGGAGTGACACATATGGTTGTGGGTCACAGGGTATGAAATGGGATCATGAGAGGGCTGAAGGCAGAGGAGGGACAGAACAATGGAGCGCCCTGATTCACTGACCAGAGCTGCTGTTTCCAGGGCTCAAACTCTGGGGCCTGTGGTCCCTTCTGTCTGGTTGGTGGCACAACTGCCTCCACACAGGCTAGGAAGGAAGCATGATTTCAGCACAGCGGACAGTAGCTTGGCCACCACCTGCTTGGTGCTGTCCATGGTCTGGCCAAGAAAGATTAAAGGGTAGAGAGCAGTGTTTGGGCCTGCTAGAGTGGTGACATGAGCCCTACCTAGCCTTGCCCATACCCCCATCTCAGGATGGATAATCTTAGGCAGAAAAATCAGACTAAGGTGCGCTTTCTTATTCAAAAAAGCCCTCTCAGTGTGCCTCCATTGGCCTTACAGCATTTTATTTTTATTTATTTATTTATTTATGCATACAAGAGCTGGGATACAGGCCTGAAGTGTGGGGGTGAGAGGATTCACCAGAGAAATTGGGGATCAGAACAGGCAGAGCTACTGAAATACACTGCTGAGGGGAGCAGCGGGCTGCCAGTAGCTTGATAGCCCTGTCTTTAACCTCTGTGCCACCAGGGAGGCCCTCTTACAGCATTTTAAACTCAAAGCAGAGCTCCAACTTAGAATGTAAGGCAAACCATGGCCCTCTTTTGTTCAAACACTCTTATGGCTCCCCATGGCACTTTTAGTGAAAGTCAAAGTTTTCTCAATGCCTCAGGACCTTTGCAAGTGCCTCTACCTGATGTGTACTTTCCCCCAATATCTGCATTGTGTGTATTGTCACAGAGGCCCCCTCCCTCCCTTGTTACAAGCCTTTTCTCAAATATCACTTTCTCAGAGGTCTGTCCCTACTGCCCTATTCAAAATTTCAAAAGACCACCAACTGACACTTCAACTTCCTTTTATTATTCAAACTTTTTTTGTGCACACCTTTTTCTGTTCATAAACTACTTAAACTCTTTTTCATGTTTAGCTGTCATCTCCTCATTCACTAGGATGTCAGCCCTACCAGGACTGAGACTTTGTTATCTGAGTTTAAATAGTTTAAAATGCTGAGTCCCCAGTACCTAGAATAGGACTTGGCACACAATAAGTGCTCAAGAAATGTTTGTTAAATAAATGAACTAATCAATTACAGATGGTGAATTAGTCATTTCAGGGAGAAAAACTGTGAACCATCTACTTCCCCATCCCCTCACCCATCAGCCTTCACTCCTCCAGGGAGTCCTCTATGGCAAGTGTCCTTCTCTCAGAACATTAAGACAGGAATCTGAGAACTGAGAGAAGTACTCTGTGCATGAGAGAGATGAAAAACATCCACATCTCTGCCAATGCACTCACTCAGCCTATATTTATGAGTATCTTCTTGTGCTGGCCCCTGTTCTAGGCACTCAAGACCCAGCAGTGAAAAAAAAAAACAGACCCTATACCAGTGAAAATGACGTCCCAGGTGTGAGAGAGAGGCAATGAACAGAAACAAAGATGAATAAACAGTTAAAGAGTGAAGGGTGTGTGATTTTACACAGATGGTCAGGAAAAGCCTCTCTGAGTGATATGTGAGCAGAGACTTGAATGGTGTGGGGGAAATGAGCCACAAAGATATCTGTGAGCTGAGTGCTCTGGCAAGAGAAAAGGAAGTGCAAAGGACCTGTAGTGGGCTGTGTTCACATGTTCCTGTGTATGTAACTGTGTGGGATTCTGTAATATAGGTGTCACTACTGGGTGCCTATACTTTTGGAGTGTTGCATATGAGGTGATTCATGGGTTGCATCTCTTTCACAGAGTTGAGGTAGGGTGTTTGCAGTGTGCGTGTGTGTGTGCAAGGCAATGGTATGGTATCAGAGTGTGGTTTGTGCAAGGGAAAGGGTGTAGGAGCAAATGTGGGAGAGAGGGAAATGCTTTGTGTCAGGATAGGATAGGGCTGTGAGCATGTGAATGACGGGGAGTCTAGATGTAGAATATATATAGTGACGCTGTGGGGTGTGTGTGTGTGTGTGTGTGTGTAGCATGTGGGGGCACCCAGCTGTGTGAGTGGGTGTATTGGGGGGTGTTACGGAGCTGTGTTCTGGTCCCAGAGGAAGAGAGGTAGCCGAAGAAGTCTGTTCTGCCCTGCCCCCAGGTCTCCTGGCAACAGCACACTTTGAAGTTACCAAGAAACAGAGTTACCAGGGCAACAGGAGCATGAGTGGCAGCTCTGGGGCAAAGCCTGGATGAGGAGACCCAGCCAGCGATCATTTGATCACTAACCTTGTTCCACCTTCTCTCCCAGTTTCTCATTAATTCTACCTTCCTTTCTTCATTCGTTTAACATTGAAAAGCCTATGAGTTAGTCACCATTTGGGGTACTGGAGACCCAGAAGTGAACAAAGACAAACAAGGTCCTCGCAATAATGTTCCCTCAGTCTCCCAACCCCTATTTCTGACTCTCCTTGCCTTGTTTGGCCTGTGGCCTGCCTTCCCCTGTACCCAAGGAGCCCCCGGGTCAGTTGAGCCTCCTTACAGAGCTTCGGAGATGTCTGCTGATGTACCAGTACTCAGACACAGAAAAACAAGCACACAGTCCATCCATCTTTCCACTTCTCAATTGCCACTGGGTGACATCAGCAGAAACACACACGGCAGCCATCACAGTCCTCATTTTCCAGGTGAGCAAACTGAATCTAGGATTTTGTGTGTCAGGGTTTGGGGCCTGCTCCCTCCAACACTCAATCCTCCAGCTGATTAGCTCACAATAATAGCATCTGTGTTGCCTCCCCCTGCCAACTCACCGAGGAAAGGGTCTTATTTCTCTAAATTACCCATATTTCTCATTCAAAGTAGGTTATTCGCCCCTTCCCCGGGGGAGGAGCTAGCAAAGGCCTACCTAACTTTGATGGACAAGCCTGTAGACCAATGGAGAAGCCAGGTGTACTGTAGCCAATGAGGATTCGGCTTGGGCAGGGTTAAGGACAAAGCTAGGCCACCGATTGGGCCAAAATACGCTGCGAATGGCGGAGATACTGAGGCGGGCGCTAAGCTGGGGGAGCTCGGCTGGGCCCGGGCCGGAGAGCGCGGCTGAGGTCGGGCCCCCCTTGCTGTTGCTCGGAGGTCCAGGCTCTGGAAAGACAGCGCTGCTCTTCGCAGCGGCGCTGGAGGCGGCAGGGGAGGACCGCGGCGCCGTCCTCTTCCTGACCCGGGCGCCGCTGCAAAGCCTGCCCCGCGGAACCGGAGCCCGGCTGGACCATCTGCGGCTGCAGGTGACCGAGGGCGAGACCGCAGGCGGGTCAGTCTGTGTCGGGCGGGTCAAGGGTTGAGCGACGCGTAGATAGACCAGTGGCTGGGGAAAGAGAGGACGAGCCGGAGCCGCCATCATGAGGGAAAGAAGAGCGAGGGAGCAGCGGCCCGGGCGAGGCTAGTCAAGATTGTTTGAGACCATCCGGTGATGGACTTAGCGAAAGGCCAGGCCCTAAGGCCGGGGTCGGGGGCAAGTAAAGGACTGACCGTGGGTCCTCTCGGGACTCCCGCTGCTTCCAGTGAAGCCGAAGTAGGTGAAAATGGTTCGAGACTGAGGACCGCTAGGGGCGGGTTTTCCGTTTCGAGACTGCCCTAGAGATTTGGCAAAAAGACACACCTTGTTCGCATTTAATATGGGGCCGTGGATTTAAAAAGTGTTGAGGGAGGGGCGAATATAATATTCGACCACTCTGAGCTTACTCTGCAATCAGAGTAAACCACCCAGCTCTTTAGTCTGAGAATGAAAGCTTCGTCCAGGAAAGTATGCAGGGAAGCAGGGCTGCCATAGCTGGAAGTCTGGTTCCCTCTCCTGAATCTTTTTCCTTTTCCTACCTCTAGAAGATCCGTTTTCAATACCCACGCTCAACCCGTGAGCTTCATCGTCTCCTGTGCTCAGCCCATGAAACCCCGGGGCCAGCACCCTCACTTCTGCTACTGGATGGCCTGGAGAAGTACCTGATGGAAGACCTGGGGACTCAAGGAACTGCCCACCTGGCTGCCCTGCTTCTAGACACAGCTGCCCACTTCAGCCACCGGGCTGGGCCTGGCCGGGGCTGTGGGCTCATTGTGACCCTGCAGACCCAGGAGGAAGGATACAGTGGGGATGTCCTGCAGCTGTTGTTGCTCCAGAGATATTTCCCTGCCCAGTGCTGGCTTCATCTGGAGGGACCAGGCCCAGGACCCCAACGCCTTCAAATCTGCCTGGAACCTGGGGGACTGGGCTCTAGAGCAGAGTGGTGGATGTCTTTCCAACAAGATGGAGAGATGACAATCACTTCGTGTGCCACCCAGACTTGTAATCCCAGCTCAGAGAAGAGCTCAAGCTCTGGAGGCCAGTCTTGAGCTTTTGACCACCTCTCTATTCCTCAAGGCTGGAATATTAATCTCAGGGACATGTGCCCACTCAAAGACCTAAAGAATGTAAAGTGATTTTTAAATGCAGTAATGTTATATTGTGTACATATTATGCCTAAGCAATATATTGTTTAGTTTTGCTCTTTGTAACTGTATTAAATGAGCTTCATGAAAAATTTAATCTGAGAGTCCTTCTCCCACTCAACACTGTTTCTGAGATTAGCCATATTTTTAATTTAAAAAAATTTTTTTTCAGCCGTATTTTTTAGATCATTCCTTTTTCTTCATATAATTCCATGGGAGGCTATACCCCAATTTATTAATCAGATTTACTTCTTTATTGCTATGAACATCCTTTCACATATATGCCCTTGTGCATGGGGATGTGAGTTTTTAGGGCATACACCTAGAAGTGGAATTGCTGGAGCAAAAGGTACACATTTGTTCAGCTTTTCTAGGTTATATCAAACTTTTAAATAAAAGTGATTAAAACTCCCATTGAACAGCTTAGGACTAAAGCCCTATGAATTAATGTTATTAGTACTGTTACTAGTGGTGGAGACTCATTAAATAGTAGTCCTCTCCCTGGGGTCATAGCCTTGCTACGTTTCCCACCTGTCCGTGGTTCTAGCTGGGATCATGTGACTTTCTGGCCAATGGGACTTGTGAAAAAGATGACAGGCACTTCTAGATCAAAACAGTCCGTATAATAGTCCAAAAACTCCATATAATCTTCTGCTTTTCTCTTTGCTTGTTGGTTAACAGGGTGTAGATGATGCAACTGAAGTTTCCAGGGTGGCCTTGTGGGATAGTGAATCTATAGCCTGGAAGAGCCTGGGCTTCTGACTCATCCCAGGGAAGACTACCCACCTATTTGAATTGAGGTATGAGAAGAGAAACTATTTAATGTGTTAAGGCACTCAGATTTAGGAGTTGTTTATTATGGCAACTAGTGTAACTTACTGAATACCTATTTTTATTCAAATCACCAGGTCCAGAATTTCACAATGAGCTCAAGGCCTATTTCTATAGTCTGGGCCCAGGGAAAGATGGAGCTTACAGAAAGTAAGAGTGTACATAGGTGTGTGTGTGTGTGTGCGTGTGTGCGTATTTGTGTGTGTGTGTGTACACAAAAGATTATACATTTTGCAATATTACCTAGTTGTCACTTCTGGAGCAGGACAGATTGGGCACACAGCCAAGTCATCAATGCCCCTGGTCCTGAAGGAGACCTGCCTGAAGTTTTAGGCCTGGACTGGAACTTGAGGTCAAGCTGGATCCTAAAGTATTGGAAGCCTGGAGTCCTAGGAACATACCATGTAGCTGGGAGGTGAAGTCTCAGAAGCTGGGACGAGGCTGTTCTCATAAGGGTTTGAATAAGGGTCATTGGAGGAGCTCCCCTGGGCACCCTGGGAGCCACCAGAACTGTAGTCAGTTGAAATGCCAGAGTCAGATACCATGAGATACAAGTACTTCAGGTGGGGTGGGGTGGGGGGCAGTTCAGGGGGCAGTGCCCGTGGGCACAGGAGCTGAGAGCTGGGATCCAGGATGGTGTATTCAAAGCTGGCAGCCAAGACCCCTTTTGGTTCAGGCTTCAGGGACAAGGTGAATGAGCAGGAGGATGTGTCTGAACCTTCATCCATGGTTACTATGTCCAAACTGCCACCAGGCCTTGGGAGGTCCTCACCAGATGGACTTCGAGGCAGCAACCACTTGTCCAGCACCAGGTAGGAGTCCTGGGCATGCTCACTGCCTACTGACTCCAACAGGGACCCCTCATCATCTGCTCCTGGCTCTACCGCCTGTGTCACACCCCAGCAGCGCTCAGAAAGGACTTCCAATGGGGCAGGTGGGTCCTCTGTGAAGGGGGTGCAGGGGCTCCACCACAGACATGCATCATTCTGGTACAGCCACAGCTGGAGAAATAGCAACAACCAAATCAGAGATCTTCAGTTTGGCCACAGGAACAGAGAAACCCCAGGCCCTGAGGGGACAGTCAGGCCACCTACCTGGAAGTTACCCTTGTGGGTGGTAAAAAGACCCTCAAACTCACTCTCAGGGCTTGGTATGCCAGGCCAGATCTTCTGCTTCAGAGCCCTGGTGAAGCCAAAAGAAACAAAAGTATGTCACTGAACACTCACCATATCCCAACAGCATTCTCAGGGACACAAATATTCCTGGCATCTGGTGATCATGATGGGAGACAGAGGATTGTATAGGGGCTGGGAGCAGGGGGTTTGGCTTAAGCATCTGCAAGGTCCTGCAAAAGAATAGGGTTTTGAAAAATGCATAGGAGCTCAATATACATGATTTTATGCTCCCTTTAGACCTGACCCAGGCTTGCTTGGAAGATCATTACGCTATTTCCCTCCTCACTCCTTTCCATGGCTCTCCAGAGCATTAATAAAATCTTTATAATGCATGATCTGACCGGTCACCTCCCTCATATCACCCCCCACCCATCCCTCTTCACATACTCTGCTCTAGTCAGACAGCTCTTCTTATGACTGCTTTAGTGTTTCAAACTCATTCCTACCACAGAGCCTTTGCACTTGCTGTTTCTTTTCCCAATTTGTCACATAACTACTTGCTACTACACTTTTGACTTCTGCTTTGAAGTCACCTCTCAGAGGCCTTCCCCCATCATCCTGTATGTTACCATACCCTGTTAATTTTATCACAATTTATAATCAAATATCTGTTGGCTCTCTTGTTTGTTGTCTGACAGCTATGAGAGCCCCAGGGTCAGGGATATGTCTGATTTGTTCTCAATTTTCTCCCCAGTGCATATCACATGGTTGGCAGTCACTGTGTATTTTTGAGCTAAGTGAATGAATGGGACCTTGAAAGACAACAAGATTACTTGGTGGACAAGGGAGGAATGGTGTTCCAGTGGAAGGAACAGCATGGACCAAATCTTGAGGGTGTGAAACCCCATGCTATGTACTTAGAACTACAAAAACCTCAGGGTGGCTGGTCTATAAAGAGAAGACAAGGCAAGGAGAGGCACTCAGGGGGTTAAATCTTTACATTAAACCCATCAGGTAGACTTCACACAGTTAATGAAACTGGGAAAAGGAACTAGCAAAAGAATCCAAGGAGGGGCATCCACGGAGAAAGAACCAGATGAAATGTCCCCAAGAGCAGAGAATTTTAGCTAAGTCTGGATCTGGTCTGGTTTGCATCCAGTCCTGCACTGACTCCTGTGTGCCACTGGGCAAGGGGCTGCTTGTCTCTGAGCCTAGGTTCCCCAGAGAAAGTGGACGTTGGAGAGGAGGAGTCTGAGCCAGGTGTCCGAATGGGGCGCTCACCGGCGGTGGGAGAGCAGGGCGAGCACGGCCAGCAGCAGCAGGATGAGCACGAGGATGAGGGAGAGGGTCAGGATGAGGGGGTCCAGGTCTGGGAAACAAAGGGAAAGTCAGGGTGGTGGGCTCATCCCATGCTCCGCCCCAGGCCCACTTATACCCCTGCCCGGGGCATCACCACTAGTCGTCAGCAGCCACGCTGGCTCCGACCAGGCGCTCCAGAAGCCACCAAAGCTCGGTTCAGCCATACGTGCGCGTACAGTGAAGGTGTAGTGCGTCCCACCCCGCAGATTGCTCAGCACGCACTCGGTGCGCCCATCGGTGATCTCCACCTGGGGGGTAAGGCCCAGGAGAGGCGTAGTCAATAAGGTAGGGACAGGCGGTGAAGTACACTTGGGGGCGGGCTCTGGAAGTGCCGAACCAACCGGAGAAAGGAAGGGCAGCACCCAGCCAATGCGGTGAGGAGGGGGTGAGGGGAAAGGCGATGAAGGCAGGAGGCGGTGCCCAGAAAAGACTCAGGACCAGTCAGGGCTGGGGTTCCACCGTGGCAGAAGGCGTGGCCAGGGCGTAGAGGAGGCCGAACCCTGAGGGGCTGGGGGTTTGGGACGAAGGGGTTAAAGGGCTTGGGCAGGCATTAAGAGGACAATCGGTGGCCGTAGAGCTGTCTTGGGGTCAGAGCAATAGGATATCTGGCGTCTGGAGCGGGGTCTGGAGGGATGAGGCCACGGGGGCGGGGCCGTGGTGACTGCCAGGATCTAAAGGAGCAAGGCCGGGTGGATCGTGGGGCCTCACCCTCTGAGTGCCTCCTGTAGAGCCGCCTGCAGAGATGTTCACCTCATAACGGATAAGGCTCGTCATGGGTGCCCCTGGAGGAGGAAGCCAGCGCAGAACCACGTGGCCACCGTCGTCGGCCTGCCGCGCTAGCAATGCAGCCGGGGGATCCAGGAGCACTGCAGAGAGAGGTGGATCAGGTGGGCAGAGACCGTGGCCCTCTCCCGACACTCTCCCGTTCCCAGTGCACTGACCCACTTCGTTGACGTGGATTATTCGGCTGTAGAGTAGAGCTCCTGAGGAGTCCGCTGTGACCCGTAACTCTAAGGGAACGAAGCTTGACGTGTCGGCTGTAGGCAGCGAGCACCAAAAACGCACCAGGCCGCGAGACGTGGGCGCCTGGTGCAAGGGGCAGGGCTTCCATGGCTCACCCCTGTGAACCAAGGAACCGGGAGGGAAGGGAGAAGTTGGTAGCGGGGACGCGGTAATTTTTTTTTAATATATATTTTTAAAGATTCATTTATTTTTATACAAAAGCTGGGGTACAGGCCAGAGGCACGGGAGGGTGAGAGAATTCACCAGAGACAGAGCGGGGAGCAGAACAGACAGACTGACGAAATACAGTGCTGGAGGGGAGCAGAGGAGAGGTCTGCCGCGCCATGTGGGACTCTCCCTGGCCGGCCGGGAATCGAACCGGCGCAGCAGAGGCTGCGCCCAGCTTCACAGCTCTGCGTTCAACCCGCTGCGCCACCGGGTAGGCCCGACGCGGGAATTTTGTATTGCCCGGACCAAGGCCGTATTTGGACACTATCACTGATAGTAGTTGATCGTCATCAGCTCCGACGTAGGTCTGGGTCCTGACGTGGAGGGGTATTGATTGTCCTAGCCCTGACGCTGCGAACGATCACGGGAGTGTTCCAGTCCTGGCCACTAGAGGGCGAGTCAGCCGTGCCCCGCGAGCTTCCCACCAGTGAACTAAGGGAGGTGTCATCCGGTCCCGGGCACCAGGAGACGTCCCAAACTGCACGCTCGGAAAGCTCTGCCCCTCCCCCTCCACCTGTGGGGGTGCTCCACCTCCCTGGTCAGACTCACTCGAGCTGGTACGAGAAGCTGTAGTTCTGAGGGCCGACCCCCATGCTTGCCGCTTCCTCCCAAAAACACACTAAGTCCTCCAATCGCTCAGTGAAGCACAGAAAGTCTTTGGGACCGCGGGTCGCCAGCAAGGCCACTGAGGGTGTGGTGCAAAGAGGGGTGTCAAGGAAACCGAGCCCTGTCCTCAGGCCTCAGCACCCTCCCCCCTACTTTCCGCTGCCTGGGCAGACCGATAAGAAAAATGTCCCGCCCCACTCTACCCAAACGGGCCCCCTAGAGGGGTCCGCAGAGGTGGTGCCTCCCACACTCCCAAGGGCAGGCTACTACCCCTCTCCGCAACGCAGCGCACGCCGGCCCTCTGCGCGATTGACTGAGCTGCCTGCAGCGTTCACGTCCCGCCCCAGCCAGGACTCGCGTACCGGTGAAAGGGTGTGTGGAGGAGGCGGGGCCCCCTATCGGCTCCCGCAGACTCCCAGCTACCCGATAGCGCCAACCGTGTCCCCACTCCCCTCCCTGTACCTAGCAGAGCAAGGGATCCGGCTCGCGCACGCGAACGGTGTTTACAGTCGCCTGCAGCTCTGAGACCAGGGCTTTAATTCTCCCAACTGGAGAATTCGCTGGATCCCCTCTCCTCAGGGACTCACACTTCAGAGTCTAGACCCAGCACCATCCCTGCCCCATTAAAATTTGCATCTCTAGCCTCTCCCCAGGACCCAGTCTAGGGATTTAGACAACCCCACGCCCCCACCCCCTCCCCGCAAGCCCCACCTGGACCCACTAGGTTGGGTCCCAGGACACAGGCTGGAAGCTCAGGCCCAGCATTACCCTCCAGGACCATTCAGAAGTCTACAAACACTTACATCCTTACCTTTGCTTTCAAACTTGGGGTCCGTGGTTTTGGTTGGAGGAGCCCAGGCGACCCCAACTAGCAGTAGACAAAGGGAGCCAACTCCTGGCCAGAGTGGTGTGTTGAGGTGGTCCATGATACAGCTCCAGCCAAACCCCCCTGCCCTCCCCTCCTCGGGGCTCTTCCCCGGCTTCCGCCTCTGGCACAGTCCAGAGCTGGGTCAGCTGCAGCTGCCTCCTCAGGACACAGCTGACCAGGCCTTTCCCGGCAAGACGCCTAGAGTGGCAGCTCCCTCGAGGGGGTGGGACCAGCATACTGCCTGGTTTGAGATAAGAAGGAGGCACGCCAGGCAGGAGGGGGCAGGGACCTCCCAGACACAGTCTTGCGGGGGCGCTGAAAGCTATGGTTTTGGCTACAGACACACTTTCTTGTTGTGTGGCCGTAGACAAGTTGACTTAACCTTATCTGGGCTTTGACCTTCTCATCTGTGAACTCCAGCCGGGCACATAGCAAACATTCAAAAAATGTACGCTACTGATATTATCGTGTTAATCAACATTTCTTCCTAGTACTGGTAAGAATAAATAAAATCTTATAATAACTAACTGGTGAGTGTTTGCCCAGCTAGCGCTAGGCAGAGCCACCAAACAGAATGTTCAATATGAAACTGTGTTTGTAAAATTATATAGTTCTGGAGCTGGAGATATCATTTGTGAGTTTTTTCTTGGGGGGGGGGGATTTTCACTGCCTCCATGTTGATACTCTTGGGATTTTGTTTTGCAAGGAGTGTTCAGTTCTTTCAAAAATCTTGAAAGTAATTATAGAATAGTCCATAAAAGCTATTCCTTTGGGCTGAGGTTCTCCTCACTTAGATACTTGCCTGGGGGAGGAGTGGTTATATACTTCATTATTCCTGTGCTCCCCAAACTAATCAGTCAGCACTGATTCTCTGGAACACAGTGATTGGTGCTCAGGGCGGACTAGTGACCCAAAAGGATCCAATGAGCTTCCATTTTGGGACTTTACCTGGAGTTAGGAGAAAGGGGTACCTCTCTATTGGTTGATAGGTAGGCAGATGGAGTAGTGGAAGACATCTTGCCACTAAAAAGGAAGATATTGCTTGATGGCAAAGTTAATATGGGTTTTTGTACAATCTGTTCCCACTACCTGGAAGGCTCTTCCTCTGTCTGTTAGGGGGAAAGGATGTCCTGAGCAAACTCCATAGAGGCTTTGTGGACTCTACCACCACTCCATCAAGACACTGGGAACTACAAATCCCATGATCCCCAAAGGGAGAGTTGCAAGGACCTGAGGGCAGAGTTAAGCAGCCATGTTTTCTGTTTGAGAATATAACCAGCCATATAAGTAGGGGTCACTCTCTTGGCCAGGCAGCGCTTGGTCTCCGCGGGTCATTTGGGATTCCAGGTCAGCGGAATGGGTAGGACGCATTTAAGAATTTATTTCCCTCTTTTTCTCCCTGAGTTATTCATTTCCTCATTTCCCCTTTCCTTGTAGATAAACCTTTGATTAACCTTTTGTTTGTGCCTGCAGTTTAAGTCCCCTTTAAGCGCATGGGTGAGGACTCACAGTCAGACAACCCATTTTATATCAGGGTTGCCCTGTAACAGGTCCACAGAGCTCACTCCTCTTTATCAGGCCTCTATCTAAATGTCACCTCAATGAAAACTTCCCTGATCATTCTATTTAAGAGAGTAACCCTCCCCACCCCATAATCCCCCATTGCCCTTAAACTAATCATCATCATTATCATTTGCATTCCTTGTGTTTATTATTTGATGTGTTGTTGTTGATTCACTGCCCTCCCCAGTTCATATTGTTCACTGCTCTATCCTCAGCACCCAGAACAGGGGCTGGCACACAGTAGCAACTCAAGAAATATTTGTGAAGTAAAACATTAGAGCTGAGAGATGTAGAGAAACTGTTGATCTTGTGTTAACCACTGGATACAGCTGTTCATGAATATCTCTGTACTTAAAAAAAAAAAAAACCACCCAAAAGGGGTGGGGGCCGGGAGGGGAGGGATTGGGGTCAGAATGGGGCATGTGCAGTTGTATGGGGGAATATAAAAATAAAATTTATTATTTAATAATAAAAAAAAAACAACACCCAAAAGTCAGTAAGAATCCTTTCCTCAGGAAACTGGAATTTGGATGTGTGTACAAGAGAATGGGAGAAACTCTAAATTTTGATTATGAGAGGCAAATTAGGTCTTGTCACTTGTTATGCTATATTAAGTTATTGAGCCTTCGCTAGTTTCAGTTCTTCATATATATTTGAAATAGTCATAATAGTGCAGTGCCTACTACATTATGAGAATGAAATGAGATAAATGATATGAAGTTCTTCAAACATACCTGGCATGTAGTAAGCATGCTACTTACAACATGCTACTTCAAGAAGGATGCTGTTACTTGTATTCAATTGGTCTTAAGGTCTTAATGCTTTGGGGAGGGGATCCTTAAAAAGTAGCATGTTGCGTACTACAATCTGTCCTTCATCAGGCCCTACATGATGCTTGGATTCTTCTATCCCCTCTCCCACCCGAGACAATACCTGGTAATAACATGCAAACACTCAGACTCCATTCCCAATTTGAAGTTTCTTTGCCAGCTTAAATGATGGGTACAGGACCCAGGTCTGGCCTATCAGAATATAAATTCCTCTGAACACAGTGATTAGTTCAGGAATGGCCACATGACACAAATTGGTCTGATAGGCATCTGCTCTAGGGCTTTCGTTGGAACTGTTGGAAAGGAGAGGTTCTCCTTACATAGGAAGATGGAACTTGTGGGAAAGCCTGGCACTGCTCCCAGGAGGTGTGAGCCATTCTCAGTGCTACATAAAACACAGTATTCTTGGACCTCCCCGGTGACGCAGCGGTTGAGCGCTGGGTTGCGAAGCTGCCCGCGGCCTCTGCGGCGCCAGTTCGATCCCCGGCTGCTCCCCAACCACCGGAGGAGGGTCCCACATGGCGCGCAGACCTCTCCTGCCGCCCGCTGCTCCCCTCAGCAGTGTACTTCGGTCCTTCTGCCTGCTCTGCTCCCTGCTCTGGCTCTGGTGAATTCTCTCACCCTCCCGCACTTCTGACTGTACCCAGTGCATGTATAAACAAAACAAACAAACAAACAAATAAATAAATAAATAAAACACGCCTCTATTAAAAAAAATAATAAAATAAAACACAGTATTCTTTTTTAAAGATTTATTTATTTATGCATACAAGAACTAGGGCACAGGCCAGAGGTTTAGGGGGTGAGAGGATTCACCAGAGACAGAGTGGGGAACAGAACAGGCAGATTGACTGAAATACACTGCTGAGGGGAGCAGAGGGCGAGTCAGGAGAGGTCTGCTGTGCCATGTGGGTAGCTTCCTGGCTGGCCAGGGATTGAACTGGTGCTGCAGTGGCTGCGGATAGCTTCATAGGTTGCGTCTTTTTTTTTTTTTATAGGCATGTTTTTATTTATTTGTTTGTTTGTTTTGTTTATACATGCACTGGGTACAGTCAGAAGCGCGGGAGGGTGAGAGAATTCACCAGAGCCAGAGCGGGGAGCAGAGCAGGCAGAAGGACTGAAGTACACTGCTGAGGGGAGCAGCGGGCGGCAGGAGAGGTCTGCGCGCCATGTGGGACCCTCCTCTTGTGGCCGGGGAGCAGCCGGGGATCGAACCGGCACTGCAGAGGCTGCGGGCAGCTTCGCAACCCAGCGCTCAACCTCTGCAGCACTGGGGAGGCCCCATAGGTTGCGTCTTAACCTCTCATGCCACCAGGGAGGCCCCACAATATTCTTTTGGCTACTGCAATAAAGTCTTGAATAATAGTGACTTCAGTAAGATATGTATTTATATTCTTACAGGCAATTCAAGTAGCAGCAATACAACTACCTGTGAAACTGCAAGGCTGGGGGGCAACTGTCATGGTTGGTGGGTCCTCACTAGTGCACACACAACTGCATTTGCAGGACACAACTCAGGCACAGGGTGCAACCACAACAGGGTTTATTTACAAAGGGGAGAGAGAGAGATTAAAGAAGTTGACACAGAGGAAAGAGTTAGAGGCCGGGCCGGAAGCAGTAGTAATGGTCAGGTGGTGATTTGAAGCAGAGATCAGATGTGAAGGTCTTGAAGGCCTATGAAGATCTATAAAGTTCTCTGTGAAGGTCCAAGATTTCAAAGGTTTCTCCAAGAGTAGCACTGCAGCAGTCAGCAACAGCAACCTGAAGGCTGGTCAGGACAGCACTGGACACCAGACCGGTCCGCGTCAGAGGCAACAGCACAGGGCATGGTGCCAGTGTTTCAGCTCTTAGAGATTTTGAGCATAATCTAACAATAAACAGCTCTTTCAAAGACAGTAAGCACATGACCAACGGTGTCATTCAGCATGCAATGTATGATGCAGGGTTGGAAGTCTGCAAAGGAGTAGTGCCAGAGGACAGAGATTAGTGTTACAGCTCTACAAAGGTCTTTCCAAGAGAGAGTTTGGACAGGTCTAACTATTCTTACTTTTTATACCCTTAGTTTTAAGGGTTTAAAAACGATCCTTTTATACCCTTCAGCGTACCCGCCTTTCAGAACTAATTGGCCCATTGTACATGATTAGCACCTGTGGGAGATTTAATCAAATTGGCCCATTTACAATCCCAGCTGTTTGGTGCTGGTCAAGGTCCAACCAAGTTGGTCCATTTTCAGTTACATGCTGGCTTCATAACTGTCTGAAACTATGTCCAGCCTTACCTATAACACCAGAAGCCCCTTTGGCTTAGATGCAAGCTTAAACCTGATTGGTCTATTTTCTTTCTTTTTTGTTAAGACTTATTTTATTTATTTATGCAGACAAGATCTGGGGTGTAGGCTAGAAGTGTGTGAGGTGAGAGGATTCACCAGAGTGGGGAGCAGAACAGGCAGATCTACTGAAACACACTCCTGAGGGGAGCAGTGGGAGAGGCAGGAGAGGTCTGCTGTGCCATGTGGGTTAGCTCCCTGGCTGGGGATTGAACTCATGCTGCAGTAGCTTCCAATAGCTTCATAGTGCTGAGACTTAAACCCTACGCCACCAAGGAGGCCCCTGATTGGTCTATTTTCAATCCCACATTGGTTGTTTCAAAACTGAAACTGCACCAGCACATCCAAACTGACCTACACTGAAGTTGGGCTTCAAAATTGGGGAGCTTCTCTGACACCTGCTCCCAAAATCTCATGTTTCTCTCAGTATGTTGCTCAATTATTCAGAAGGTGTGAATCAGCCAATTCAAGATGATCCACTCCACATCTTCATACTAGCCATCAGAAGGTA